TTACAAGTTCAAAATCTATTGTTTTAATTATAAACCAGCCTGGTATGTTCACTTCATGGCTCATATTGTAACATTTCCTGCTATCATGGGGTTCCTTGGCCTGTTTTTTTTATTATTTCGCTCTGTCACTTCATATTTTTTTCTGAAAAAATCTGAGAAACAACAAGTCAAATTGGTGTGGCCTTATGACTGCTGCCAACCTGTAAAACAACTTGTTACTTGGCTAGAACGTCATAATGTAGGGTGGTTCTACTGTCTAAATAGTACAGATATGATACAGATGTAGCTAGATGCATGACTCTGGTTTTTCTATACTTGTCATTTAATCACCAGGACAGGAGCCAAGATACACACATTGATTCACTCCAGTCCAGTTCATGTGATGACAGAACTCAGTAGCGCTAAGAGATAAAATCATATCAGTTTTCAGCGGTATGCAACTTGTTGGTTTTTCGTGGCACTGTCTAAGCTTTCTTGCCACAGTCTAAGCTTTCTTGGCATTTTTGTGAGTGAAACTGCACCTGCATAAACTGAAAATCCACAGATGTCAATCACTTAGCTCACTTGCCTTGTTAGCTTTAGGCAAACAAAGGAAAAACAGTCAACCAATGATACATTGCCGTGTCTAATGTAATTATCACATAATCCATTGTGATAAGAAATTGACACATCATTGTACCACCAACACAGCCACTTGCCAATTGGGACAGAAAGCATTTATCAGGTGTCAACAGGGTGCTAAAGACAACTCCCAACAAAACTAACATTTACCACGCCTGTGCAAAAACAAACTTTTCTTCTTTTACTGCATAGGGATTTCTTTGTAGGGCTTCCTTCCAAGTTCAAGCAAGGTTGAAGCCCTTTCATGGCACATGTCAAAAAAGAGTACAGAAATTGTAGAATTTCCCTGTAATCCAATCACGCATGTGTAGATACATAAATATTGTACATTTGGGAATGCATCTGTAGCAACGACACCTTTGCTGCAGTACAATGTGAACCAGTCAGAATTGCCCTGAGGAAGGTGACAGACGGTCACTGAAACTTCGGCTGAATAAAAGACTTGGTTGTGTAAAAAGAGTCTCTTTACTCAGTGTCTTACCAAACTATTCACTGAGAAATTGTAGAAATAGAAAAGTGTTTCAGCTTACAGATTTCTGTTTATTAGCTGAATATATCCTCCTTTAAAGCTTAGATATTAAAGATCTCAGCTTACTGTAAAACATTGTGATTTCGAACAAAGTTTTTTTTTGCAAGATAAAGTACATGTACTTTGAAGTGAATGTTTTGGGAGCCTCACAGTAGCCATTAACACTTTTCTCAACTTGCACACAAGAGCAGATAATACCATTAACTGTACAAATGGGAGAACAGTGCACTTCAACACCTGATCACAGACACAAAAGAACCCAGAGGAATAGGCATCATTCACGCTATAATGTTTCCTACTTGTAGACATTGCAAAGGATCTCAATCTTTGGGTATTGCAGTTTGTTAGAGTAACAGCATCGTTTCACAACTTTCTAGTCCTGGAAAAAAACAGGCAATGTCATGACAAGTGGATTGCATGCATGATAAGGCATCGATTGGTCTACTCTTACCCAACCTAAATCATAGCAATTGAAACTGAATGATGTCAATAGGACATCGCCTAGCAGATGTAGGGGTTGGCTAACTTGGCTTTGGCATTTCAGCCATTTTTTTCTAACCTTTTTCTAGTAAAATGTCCATTTTCCTTGGAAAGAGAAGAATATGAAGACCAATAGAAAGAAGTACTATAAGACAGTCAAACACATCCTTTGAACACCCAGACAGATCTTACATCTGCTTGGAGATTACTATAAACCCTAGGAAAAAAATGTTGTTTCCTGTTTCAGTCCTGAAAAAAATTAGGGTTGGTAGGTAGGGATTATCTTTTTTTTTTCTTTTTTTTTATTAGACTTTGGCAATCTCCAGTGATCCAATATCCAACGTATACAATACAGTCTAACAAAGTAAAACTTGCATGAGGACACTTGTATTTTCAATGTCAATGTTTGAAAACTGACTGTACAACATTTTATAACTCAAGTGTCAGATCATGTAGCTAGAAAAGGTTGATCAGCTTGAAAAATTTATGTCCCTTGCAGGGGTCCTACCCCTAAAAAAGGCTAGGGTCGGCAGTTTTTCTAGGGTTGGTCGGAAAACTACCCTTCGGTAGGGTCGGAAAATTTTTTTTCTAAGCCCAGCTTAAATGTAAGAATTACGATACCAGGAAAGCCAAACACATGGGCTGACTGAGAATTAAATTTCCTAGAACACATTTATCTGGATTTCCTTGTTCCTTGGTGACAGACTGGAGAGGAAATAGGACTCAGCCAGTCAAGACTGAAATACCACCTGCATCAACTCTGTTCCAGGGAACCCACTTCTGCGGCAAGTAGTGGCAAAACAGCACCAGTTTGGGCAGCTTGGAGTGTTAAAACACGCTCTCAACATTGTCAATATATTATGTGCTTTGTCAGAAAACAACCTCCCAACCCTACAGATGCTGTAATTGCTTAGTTTTCGGCTTGGTTTGCCACTAATGACGCCATTTTTCTCATGTTACGTCTGCTATTTTTCAGTCTACTGTATTTCATATAGCAGGGCTCGAAATACTGGGTGCACAAATTTGTAGCTGTGCACCCAATTTTTTTCTGTGGGTACACTGGTGCACCCAAATATTTTTGTAGGCATTTTTGTACATATCAAATGTATAATAGTACATGTATACAGGATATGCTTGGCATCTAAGTAAGTGTCAGAAAAACAATAAAATCTTTGCTGTAGTACTTGTTTAATATTTCTAAGTTAGCTCCCAATTCAGATTCAATCTTGGAAGGAGTAGTAAGATTTTATATGGTGCACAAAAAAAAAAATTGTGCACCCAATTTTTTGGGTGCACCTATTCCCAAAAATGAATTCCGAGCCCTGTATAGAATGCTAAGGCAACCAGGCAGACTATAACCATAGATAATTCAAACTCTACTACTGAATAAAATAAAGAGAGAGAAAGAAAGACTTTCTTTTGACAATCTCTTGAACGATTTACTAATAATTTACTTATTTTCAAACTTCAAAAGATATGTACAATTTTTGTATGAATGTGGGAATAATTTACATTGCATGCATAATTGTAGTACATATTAATAATACACCATTTTACCTTCATTGGTTTTAAATCTTATAAGTCTTTGGTTATTTAGCTGACGTGCCTAAATGTGATACACTGTGCAAACCATTCCAGCCATGAACAATGAAGATAAAAGACCACTACTTATAGACATTAATAGCTCACACAACACTGCACACTGCATCTCACATGAATGCACATATCTGATACCGACTGTGGCATAAAGACAATAAATAGCATCATATGAACACATCAATCCATCTCTCTTTAGATCAAAGTGAGATCTAATACTTTCACTAGCCTTTTGTTATTAGAGAACAATGAATCAGGCTATAACCAGTACACAGATGTGTCCTGCAGTAAGCACAGATGGTTGGGTAGGACTTGTACACTGCCCAACATCAAAGAGGGCCTGCATGCCCTTTTTCGTTAACCGTTATGGGCTATTTTAACTTACCGTTAATCGTTGCCGGCCCGCTCTAATTCAACGTTAAGAGTTATCAGTATATTCATCGTGAAGCGTTATTGGTCGCTTTAATTTAACATAAAACGTTATTTGTCATCCTAAATTCAGCGTTAATGAATAATTCTTCGTTACGCCTAATTTTGCCTTTCAAAGTGCAGGAAAATGCGTCACTGAAGGTTCAAAAATACAAAATTTCCCGCGCCTTTGTCAGTGATCACCTTTTCTCACAAAGTGAGATATCAAATCCAGTGCAAAAAAGCCTGTCAATTTACCGTTAACTTTTAAGCGTTGCCGACCGTCCTGAATTTACCGTTAAGCATTATCGGCCCTGCTGAATTTAACGGTAAACGTTGCCAGGACCCCCCCCATGCAGACCCAACATCAAAGCTAGGACCATAAGATCACCCACCCTGCATACCAATCAGCACAACAAAGGAAGGGGTCTGGTCGGAGGGTGACCTACTTTCTGACAAGACTGGCTGGGAGAGGGCCAGGAAAAGCAGAATGATTTGTGATGCCCTCCCTTTGCCAGAATGTGTTTTTGCATACCTCGCACCAAATTGATGTACAAGCCCTGGCACTGACCACTCTGGCTGGAGATCAGAGAGGTGTGAAGCTCGTGCCTCCAACCAGGCATTAAATTTCACCGCATGATTTGTACCTACAATATCATAATATATTGTTTCAAGATGTGTAGAGTTGAGCCATGCTGTGGTAGTGTTTTTCCCTCTAGTTTTACTAAAAGCCGTACCGTTCTCAGATGACATACAGGGGAGGACTTTCTAAATATACAAGAGGGTCATGTCAGAGGTATGATAAACTTGCCGTGACACCTGTCGTTTCCCATATACAAGGTCAGTATACAGATAATACGGTGGTAGGGGCATACCATCTTTAACTTAGGGACTAAGTAAGAAAATATGGAAGTAAAATACGAAGGCTTGTGTTATATTGCTACAGCAAGCAGGAAGACAAATTTATGGCTCGTGTTCAGACTTGTCTAGGCGGAGGCGGTTTTCCTAGAACAATGGACGGAAAAAGAAATCCATCCAGGAAGAAGACACCGCGTATAGCGAAGACTTGGCAAGCGAGCGATCGCAAAGCTTGTGGATGGATACTACCACAGGCCGGTGTGTCTATTTTCTACAGGTAGGCCCACACCACACAAAGGGCGATTCACGAGCACACATGGGACCAATCGCCACCGACATGCCAATGGATCACCCCAATCAGCGACAAACTCCGCCAGAAAACATTAAACAGAGAAACCTGCAGCGAGTCACTAGGAATCAGCTGGTACCTCCCGGAAACCTTACCCAGTATTGTCGGCGTTTCGGAGCGCTGTCGCCCGTGTATGGTGAATTCTAGCGGCGGTCTTACCTTCGGAAATGTGTCTAGAGTGTGTAGGCGGCGTTGGGAGGCAGAATCTTGGAGGAAACGGCTGGAAATCGGGACCAAAACAGCAGCAGGAGGGACGGTGACTAGTTCGTGTCCACGTTGACTGTGTCGATTTCCAACACAGAATCAGCAAGGGTCAGAAGGTCACGGCGCAGGCGTACGGGGGGATCCCGGGGAACGCAAAACTCGTGACGTTTTCCTTTCAACCACAAAATCCAGGGCTGCACAAAATCAGGGGAGCAACAGCATACAGCGCAATTTTACGAAATTCATTGCAATATCTCGGAATTATACAATCAATACATTGCAATTTAACGGAATACAGTACAATTGTATTAGTATGTAGTGCAATTTTACGAAATACAGTGCAATCGTATTAGTATACAGCACAATTTTCAAGTAAAATTGCACTGTACACTAGTACATTGTACTAGCAAATTGCACTGTATACTAATACGATTACACTGTATTTTGTAAAATTACACTATACATTGTATATTAATACGATTACACTGTATTCAGTAAAATTGCACTGTATAATAGTAAAATTGCACTGCATTCCGTAAAATTGCACTGTATTCTGGTACACCCCTGAAAATGTCGTGACGCAGGCACATCTTTTGATGACGTTTACACATCACCGTGCGTTTGGGACAAAGTGGGGAAGTGGACATCGTGGTTTTGGTGAAAAGTTTTGGTCCTTCCGAGCTGGTTTAGCGCTTTTTGCAGACTTCTCTTGTCTTGCGGGACAGAAAAGGTACAGAAGGGATGTTTTGAGCTGATCTGAGTCGACTTTATTGTTGTTTTTTGGGACACGATGTTCTGAATTGATGGACACTAAGTGCAGGCATAGTGTTGTTGTGTTTAGATCTGTGTGCACAAAAACTATGCCAGGAAACTTGTTTGTTAAAATCTCGGCCACTTTCAACGCGTTTTGATACTCAGGACTGTCTCCAAGTTGATTTTGTTAGCTGTAAACAAAGGTTTATTCTTCTAGGGTTGTTGTTTGTATAGGATACAATCAAGTTCATATTAAATACATGTGTGAAAATATATGGGTCGCAAAGCATGTTATAAAATAACTGTTTCACTTTCAGTGCAGGTCAGAGAAAGATGTCTGACAGTGAAGGGAGCAACTTCTCCGATGACGGCAGCTTTGTCGCCAGCGACGACGTAAGAACGGACTGTTTTTTCTAATCTTTGTTTTGTATTTTGTTATTTTTCATTACACACAATCCCCATTATTGGGATAGCCTGGACAGAATAGTAGTCCTATCTTCTTTAGAGTTAAAACTTTTGTTCCAACACAAAGAGAATGGTTCTCACCTAGAGCTTTTGACCAGTCACTCTGGTCTTCTTCAATAGACTGACCCAGTGAGACTTGTCACGTGGCTTCTCTGAAGTGTGACGTCAACATTGGTCAAAGGTATCAGGTAAACAATGTCATGAAGCACATTGGCAGAACGTACTGCACCTGCTCGAAATCAGTAATGTATTTACTGTATTCACTCTTTGGCAGAACATCTCTTATAAGGTCGTATTCGCGTAGAAACTATATATAACGTGAATATCCCATCTGTAGTTTCCAAATGTTTGGTCAGAAAAGATATCTTCTGCAATGGGCAAAATTCTGATGCAACGTTGACCAAACATCCAACAAAACCCGTTAAAAATCAGGGTTTCGTGCAGGTGCAGTACGTTCTGCTGACATGTTATTAGTGATGCATACCTAAACCCAATTTCAGGTTCAGGTCCGGATTCAAGTCCAGAGGTTTAGGTTCAGGTCTGGACTTAAGTCTGGACCTAAACCCATGGCATTATACAAAATTGCTTGTTGGCAACCTTGCAATGTTGTCTGGGTGAAACTTTAATAATAAATTGGCCACATAACATGGAGGCTGGTACTTGACGATGCCCGATGGCAATGTTTTCTTCATTTTGCAGCAAAGATTTTGGAATCTACGGAAGGTTTTAGGTGGTTTAAAAAGAAAAGGGGTATGTGAAATGGTCTTTTATGGTAATAAGTCCGGACTCGGTTCTTGACTTTTAGGTTTTTTTGGACTTGAACCTAAACATTTTTACAAGTCCGGATCCAAGTCCAGTGAACCGGTATGCACTACTACATGTTATGTCTTGATAATTTAGCCCCATCATGTGGCTCACTGTACATGTGCAGTATAAACCATGCACCAGCTTATTGGGATAACCTAGATAGAATATAGCCCCATCTTGTTGTTCTATTTCCCAGGATGCTGGGAGTGACATTGGGAGTGACCTCGGCAGCCCGGGGGGCAGCGGGGGAGGCAGCGGCGGGGAAGACGACTCGAAGGAAGTGGAGACGAGGCGTAAGATCGTGACGGAGGAAGAGGAGGATGAGGTAGACGAGGAAGACGATTACGAGGCATGTGCATGGGCATGGGTCAAGGGTCGGCTGTCTCTAATGCATGTTATCTTTTGTTACTCCTCTCTACAAGTATTCCAGCTTTCTTTTATATTCTTTTCTTTAAAAATCTGTTCTTTTCACTGTTGTTTATTTTTATGTACAAAGCACTGGTTACCAGGCATTTGCAGATTTGTTTCTGCTGCATGTTATGTGCTCTATTGTATCTTCTTTGTGTGATAAAGGTTATGATTCTTTCCCCTTTTATCAGCATTTCTCCATTACTTTGTTCTCTTATTTGCTTTCAAATCAAAGTGCATGAAAAGCTTTTTCTGCTGAATTTGCCTTCAGTTTTATTCTACATATGCTGGTTTGTTTGTTTTGCAGTGTTGTGCACTCTTTTATGTTGCTTACCCAGTAGTGATTTTTATTTCAGGATGAAGAAGAAGATGAAGACTATGGAGTAGGTGGACCAAAAAAGAAAAAGAAGCCCAGATTTGGTGGATTTATCCTAGACGAGGCCGGTATGTATTGGTACAAGCTCCTAATACATGTAGAGAAGTTTGATACTAGCCTGTCTATCTTTGTTTAGCCATATGGAAAAGTTGGAAATTGTAACGTCTTGACCACATCATTAGATAAAGTTTTGGGTTACTGTATCAAAACATTGATAACATTAACACTAGAAAGGAAACATTTGCAAAGCAAATGCATAATGTTTACCTTCGCATATGGTCTGCTCTGTTAATTCTTACTCAAACACATTCATATATATGGTCAGACAGGAGTTTAAATCCCTCCTGCTATAAAATTGCAACATGATGTAACCCAACACCAGTTACCATGGTGACAGACTGCTGGTTTAGACCAGGTCAGAGGTCACTCAGTGTTTGGAGAAGAAGAGGAAACGTAGCAAAAACAATATGTTTTCCTTCGGTAAACATAAATACAGTATGATTCCCACCCAGTAGAAATATGAGAAATGATATTTTAATATTTGCCCGCAGATGTTGATGATGATGATATTGAGGAGGAAGAGGATTGGGAGGAAGGTGCTCAGGACCTGATTGAGAAAAGTTCTGTCATCGGCGACTCTGACCAGGAACGTAGCGGCGCTCAGCGATTGGCCAACCTGTGGAGGTCAGTACAGGTCATGTTAGTCACACATTAGTTAAGATCCTTCGTATGCCTTTTGGTATATAGGGCAGTGCCCATCTCTGTTTCTATAGCCCCTGGGCCACACAGTTGTTCAATTGCCACAATAACCATGTTCCACATGAAATGATGGACCAAATTTATGTTGTACCACAATGGATTAAAAATCCCATACAAAGTGCCCATCTGTATCAACATTTCAATACTACTAATGTTTATTTGTCCAGATGTACAGTAATATTGTCTTTAACACTTCTTAGCTTGATTATGGTATACATACATTGTACTTTAGTTGTGTTTTCTGTTTATTTGTAGTCTGGATGAAAGCAATGTGTAATGTTATACAGCTAATCCTTTATACAACTTTAGTTTACTGTTGAAAAGTCTTTGTGTTGTCTGAAAATGTTATATATTTTCCCATCTCCAGAGACAGAGAGGCAGATGAGTTGGGTGAATACTACATGAGGAAGTATGCCAGCTCTAGCAGCAGAGACGAGTGAGTATTCAGTTAATGTACTTTGTTTTACACTCATAACATATGTATTAAATTTGGTAGAATAGATACATTGAAGGCTGGATGTAAGCATAAAACATAGCAATGCAAGATGTACATTTACACAATTTGCTTTGACTTCTCCTTTGACAGTCAACTATTGTAACTAAGGGAAGAGTTTAAGAAACCTATACAAAATTGTAATTAAAATGAAAAAGAAATGTTCACAACTTTCTGTAAAGACTTTTTAGAAAAGTAGTTGAGCACATCCATATTGCATAGATACTTTTGTTGTTTTATTATTTTTGTAACATCATGTTTCAGAACTGGGGGAGAGTATGAACTATCTGATGACATCACACAGCAAGGCTTGCTACCTGGAGTCAAGTAAGTCAGCTTTGTCATTTTGTCCACTGCATTTGTTTGAAGCAGTCACATTCAAGGGTGGTATATATCATATTTAGTGCACAGATATGATGGTTATGAATATGTTTTGTACAATTTTCTGATGGTATAAAATGAAGACATAGAAGTACTTAGTAGCAGAGTGGTAGTTTACACATGTAAGTCTCTTACCTTATGTATATTTTTCTTTCCCTAACAGAGATCCAAACTTGTGGACTGTCAAGTGCAGGGTTAGTTTTATCTCTTTATATGTTCTATATATGTACGTAGAAAAGGTCCTGTTAGAATTTAAAGGAAGCTGTATTTTGAATGAAAAAAGAAATGAGCCAATGAAGTATTTATCTAAGCAGGAAATGTTCTTACAAAAAAACTTGACCAGAAAAATATCACTAGTTTATGAGTATGACAAGACAAAGAAGTTTTATATTTGAAAAATAGATCTCAGCAACATTTTCACCCTAAACTGCAATCCTAAGATCCTAACTTGGAGATTTGATGTTGTTTTTATTTACAGATAGGAGAGGAGAAACAAACAGCCATCATGATGATGAGGAAGTTCATCGCTCTGCAGTACTCAGACGAAGTAAGTTTAGTTTTTTCACATATTTTTCTCCCAGCAAAGATAACTTTTTACAGTATATTTAACACAACAAATATGAACTTTTTTGTTGACAAAAATTATATTATTTACAGTAAGCAGGGCTCGAAATTCATTTGGGGGAATAGGTGCGCCAGTGCACCCAACCCCAAAAATTAGGTGCACAAAAAATTTTTGGGGGTACACCATATAAAACAAAACCTAATTACAGATCTTACAGCTTCTCTTCTCAGCTTGAATATGAAATGGGAGGTAACTTCGAAATGTTAAACAAGTACTACAACAATTTTTCTGACACCTTTATGCCAAGAATATCCTGTATACTATTATACAATGTCATGTAATATGTACAAAATACCTACAAAAATATTTAGGTGCACCAGGGCACCTACAGAAAAAAATTGTGTGTACAGCTCCAATTTGGGTGCACATGCACCCAGTATTTTGAGCCCTGGTAAGTTATGTCTTAGTTTCTATATTTCTATATTATGACTTAAGACAGACTCAAAGAGTCTTTACTGTCCTTCCAGCCCCTGCAGATCAAGTCTATTGTAGCTAAGGAGGGTCTGAAGGGGTACGTGTACGTGGAGTCAGTTTCTGTTTCTTATATTATGACTTAAGACAAACTAAAGAGTCTTGACCGTCCTTCCAGCCCCTGCAGATCAAGTCTATTGTAGCTAAGGAGGGTCTGAAGGGGTACGTGTACGTGGAGTCAGTTTCTGTTTCTTATATTATGACTTAAGACAAACTAAAGAGTCTTGACCGTCCTTCCAGCCCCTACAGATCAAGTCTATTGTAGCTAAGGAGGGTCTGAAGGGGTACGTGTACGTGGAGTCTTTCAAACAGACCCACGTGAAGCAGGCCATCACCGGAGTGGGGAACCTGCGGCTGGGGCTGTGGCAGCAACAGATGGTCCCCATCAAGGAAATGACGGGTAGGTTGTCTGGTTAACCCTCTGTCTACTAGCACGTCGACAGAACGTACTGCATCTGCACGAAACCTGTAATGTATTGTACATGGCACTTTGGCAGAATGTCTCATATAAGGTCATATTCGCATATATATACATTTGTATAAGGTTGACAATCCCGTCTATAGTTTCCAAATGTTATGTCTGAAAAGATGTCGTCTGCAACAGGCAAAATTCTGATGCAATGTTGACCAAACATCCACGGAAATCTTGAAAATGGGGGTTTTGCACAGATGCAGTACGTTCTGCCAACGTGCTCTGTCTGCTACACAACACAACACAACACAAATCTGCTGCCAAAAGGATACCTTAGTGCTAAAGTAATTTTTTTATGGCAGACTAAAGTAAAAGTTGTCATAAGAAAAATGAAAGATGAAATTTTCAAAATGTTTTTCCAGCAATATGTGTACACTATTCTCCTAGTTAAGGTATCCTATATAGTCAGGTGATAGCATATTTTTTCTAGTACCTAAGATACTTAAAGAGAATTTTTTATTCCTATTGTTTAAGACTGTTGCAAAGGGTAAAACTGTATACATTACTGCTTTTAAATTAATGCTAATTGTATCACTCCTTTTTCCTTCCAGATGTCCTGAAGGTGGTGAAAGAAACCGTTGCTCTGAAGCCCAAGTCGTGGGTACGTCTGAAGCGAGGTGTGTATAAGGATGACCTGGCACAGGTGGATTATGTGGAGCCCAGTATGAACTCTGTTCACCTCAAACTTATACCACGGGTGGACTATACCAAACTGAGGGGTGTACAGAAGGCTTCACAGGTAAGAAACATGTTTAGGAAAACCATGAACAATTTTTTTTCTAAGGGCTGCAGTAGGATAGTACATGTAGAGGGGTAAAAAAATTCCATTTCTTTGGTAATGGCACAGTCACATTTATTGTAGGTCATTGTATATGTGATTTAGATGCAGTAGAATTTTCAATCAGTCTGTGACAGAACCAACACCCGACAAGGAACTAAGACAGCATTTGCCATAACAAGACAGCTTAATTTTGTTGGACAGCTATCTCAACATGCGATTTTGACCCTTGAAGTTAATTACACCAAGTTAAAAGATGCACAAAGCTAGAATGTACAGTGTAGAAAGCTTGCAAGCAAAAATAAGCTCAAAGTCTGGATTAAAATGATTTGAAATAATTTGTACTACATGTACTAAATTTCTGCCTTCTTTTTCTTATTATTGTCAACCATACGGTACCCCATTTTTTTCTGCTCTCCAGGACCAGGGAGAGAAGAGGAAAAAGTTCCGCAGACCTCCACAGAAACTGTTTGACGTCGATGCCATCAGGTAAGAATCATAGTCTGTACATGTAACTGATAAGCTGTCAGGCAGTGTAATATACTGTATAGAGACTGTCTTCTCTGTCACAACCAGTGGGAGATTAGCTCTTCTCTTTAACATCACTGTACTCTCTCTCCTTTATCATTGGTCTGGTGGCTTAAATTTTTGGACTTACTCTTTTTTTTACACTTCCAGAGCTATAGGAGGGGAGGTGACTTCTGACGGAGACTTCCTAATCTTTGAGGGAAACCGCTACAGTCGTAAAGGCTTCCTGTTCAAGACCTTTGTCATGTCTGCCATTGTAAGTTTTCGTGAAACAAAAAAATTTTGTGTTATACATTTTTGTGTTATACATGTAGCAAAGAAAGTTTTTAAAAACATAATGTGCAGTGAATTCCCGAGTTGTACTTTTCTGATCACTGGGTACTAGTATAATTCTGTGACTAAAAGTTAATAGTCAATAGTGAAACATTATAAATAATTGTTGATACAAGTAATATACATTGATAGACTTTATCATACTGAGTGAGATTCTCATACAAAATTATAGTCATCACCCATCTTGTCGTATACAATTCTTGTGGTTCTTAAGTTATGTCACAGTTAACAAAACATGGTTGTGAAAGACTTAATGTGTGAATTGTTCCTCAGATCACAGAAGGAGTAAAACCAACCCTGTCAGAGCTGGAGAAGTTTGAAGACCAACCTGAGGGAATGGACATCGAGTGTATCCTTCTTGTATTGTATTACAAACATTGCAATGTATGTGCTAGAATCTACAAAACAATACTTAAAATATGAGTAATTAGAAAAGCATTAGGTTACTCCAATTTGGTGTATTGGAAATAACAGTTCAAACCAACCAGTATCAGAATATTATTATGAAAAAAGTTTGAACTGCAATTTTCAACACATTGTTACAAATTTGTTCTCAACCAAACTTTTAACCGTACAACTCGTCACAGACTCTGTATCTGTATCAGTATAGCCGGTATAACCGCCTTTCGGCGTAACACACCAGCTTCACAGGCACACGGTGCGGCGGCAGCTAGCTATATCACACCTAACGACTTGTTACACTCAATCTTTGCTCATTTAATTGTAGGAGTTTAAAGCTTTCTAGTGACGATGCCCCAACTGTGCTTGGTGGCAACGAGTTCCAGTCTACGATAGTTCTTGAGAAATACAAGTTTTTGAACACCTCAATTCTTGGTTGATAACTCTGATATTTGAAGGCAAGACTGAGCAATCCACTGCTTCTGTGATGTCACGTATCTACATGTATAGTGTTATTATTCAGTTGAAAGGTTTGTGTGCTTGCCTTGACTGACCGTACTGACCAGTGGTTCCTGAGTCCAGAGGTAAGGTGGACAAGCAGCACAGCCTGGCCCCCGGTGACATTGTGGAGGTGGCAGAGGGAGAACTGATCCACCTGCAGGGCAAGGTCATGACGGTCGATGGGAACAAGGTCACCATCATGCCCAAACACGAGGACCTAAAGGTACACAGTTTAACCTTCTATCAGCTAAGGTAGTGTTTCAGATTCAGTCACCATCATGCCCAAACATGAGGATCTAAAGGTATGCTGTTTAACCTTACACTAGCTAAGGTAGTGTTTCAGATTCAGTCACTATCATGCCCAAACACGAGGACCTAAAGGTACACTGTTTAACCTTACACTAGCTAAGGTAGTGTTTCAGATTCAGTCACCATCATGCCCAAACACGAGGATCTAAAGGTAAAGTTTAACTCTTTACCAGCTAAGGTAGCGTTTTGAACAAAGTGACAGTCATGCCCAAACATGAGGATTTAAAGGTACACAGTTTAACCTTGTTCCAGCTAAGGTAGAGCTTTAGATTAAGTCACCATCATGCCCAAACACAAGGATCTAAAGGTACACAGTTTAACCTTATACTAGCTAACTTAAAGGTAACATTTCAGATTCAGTCACCATCATGCTTTAACACAAGGATCTAAAGGTATGCTGTTTAACCTTACACCAGCTAAGGTAGCATTTTGAAGGTTACCATCATACAGATACATGAGGACCTAAAGGTTAAGTTTAACCTTGTATCAGGTAAGGTACAATGTAGTATTTTATACTTCAAAGGTGATAACAGTCAATACAGCAAATAAAAATCCACTTATACCTACATTTAGATCTAAACTGAGCATGTACCAGTGCAGTGTACACTGTTAGATAGAATGCCTTAGCTTCAATCTGATACCCCGAAAGACAACAAAATAGTTACATGATTGTTTAAAGTTAAAACTTTTGGTCCAACACAAAAAGTTCTCTCACCTAGAGCTTTTGACCAGTCACTCTGGTCTTCCTCAGTAGACTGACCCAGTGAAGCTTGTCACGTGGCTTCTTTGAAGAGTGACGTCAACGCTTGGTCAAAGGTATCTGGTAGACGATGTCGGCCCCCGGCACGGTTCAGTGAAGGCTGATGGGCCCTGATGTAAATAGCCTCCTTCACCCCTCTTAATAATCTTATAGGAAATAGTCTTGTTCAGTGTCCAAAATCCTTACAGTGTCAAGTGAAACAAAGTGTTCGGGTGACTCTATGTGGATGTGTTGTGACACTTCTGAACTGGCTGAGCTTGGACGTGTAATACTATGTTCTTGGAACCTGGCCTTCAGAGACCTTTCTGTTTTTACCAATGTATGTTACTACACAGCACGTCGGCAGAACATACTGCGCCTGCGCAGAACCCTGTATTTTCACGTTTTTTTGTGGATTTTTGGTCAACGTTGCATCAAAATTTTGCCTATTGCAGAAGATATCTTTTCCGACATAACATTTGGAAACTACAGACGGAGTGTTAACCTTATATGTGCAGATATGACCTTATATGAGACGTTCTACCGAAGTGCTATGTACAATACATTACGGGTTTCACGCAGGTGCAGTACGTTCTGCCAAATGTGCTTTACTACACCTGTTTGATAGTGCCCAAAACATTACTGTACATTTCCCTATCATGTTTACACGAATTTCTAACCATTGACTTTTATTTCACAGGAACCTCTTGAATTCCCTTCGCATGAGTTGAGGAAACATTTCAACATGGGTGACCACGTGAAGGTGATCGCAGGCCGGTATGAGGGGGACACAGGTCTGATTGTTCGCGTAGAGGACAACTATGTGGTGCTCTTCTCTGACTTGACCATGCACGAGGTTTGTTTATTTATTTATTATGTTTACTGAAGGAAAACATATTGTTTTTGCTCAGTTTCTCCCTCTTCTTCTTCTCCAAATAGTGACCTATGACCTGACCAATGACATGATTTGTTGACGTCTGTCACCCTGGTGACAGGTGTTGGGTTACATAATGTTGCAATTTCATGGTCTGCTCTGCTCCTGTCACCATATACTAGTAAATTAATATACAAAGCAAAATGTCAAAATCATAATCATGATCCATAGTTAGTAGCTGATTCCAACTGTAATAATATTTTCTCCGTATTGTATGATACTACATAAGTGAATATTCTAAATCCTGTTGTGATATGGTGAAGTTTGGTATGTCATTGTTTGATGGTATGTCACTTTACATTGTCTATCAGAAAAGTGCTAAAGGATATATCTATCGTGGAAATTATTTTTTATGGTAAGATTTGCACATAGCTTAGAAACAAAGATTTATGTATGGATAGATGTATTACAAATAGAGAATTGTACATGTACATACCTTCTTTCTTTGCTTTTATACAAGGAATTCTTAGTCTTAACATGATGACAACAAGTTGGTCCACAGCTAGCATTCAAGTTTTATAGGACAGATCAAGACTGATGTACATTTATTGATGTTTTTTTTAGTCTTCACACTTTCCTGAAACATGTTATGACTGAGTTTGTGTATTTCCAGTTGAAAGTTCGTCCCCAGGATCTGCAGTTGTGTACAGAGATGAGTTCAGGTGTGGACTCCATGGGACAGTTCCAGTTTGGAGACCTGGTCATGCTAGAGTCAGTACTCATATTCTCATCTTGCCTTTTAATAAAATCATCATTTTAGTACTTTTCTTTAGAAATGAAACATAATTAGTTATTGATGACATTCTAGTTATTCTATTTTATATGGTGTACCTAAAAATTTTTGTGCACCCAATAGACTATTCTTCAGCTTGGGTGCACCAGTGCACCTATTCCCGAAGATGAATTTTGAGCCTTTGCTTTGCCTATCAGTGATATATTTAAAATCAAAAGTTTAAGATAAAACACCATCATGAATAACATAAGACTGTAAAATTGAGCACATGGTCTTGTTTTTTTAAAGGCATCCAATGCGATTTAAGGGCAGCAAAACTGATATATTTCTGAATAAGGCAATCGTTGTGATATTGACACATGCTGCTTTACTTTAGCACATTTGAGTCAGTATTTCATATTTTGGGCTTTTAAAACTGCAGAAACAAGCCCCAAGATGAGTCCTTTATTTTCTGGGTGGTACCCTAAAAATCAGCCAAAGGCCCTTCCAGTTACATTTTTCCGTCAGAATTTTGGGTATTTTTTACTCCATGAGGGTCAATATACTCAGTATGTAGATAAGTGACTAGAATATCAACTTTGAAAAATCGGGTTTCCAAGCCCTAAAAACTGTATTGGCTGCTTTTAAAATCTCAAAAGTTTAAGATAAAAACAGGTTTCTTCAGGAATAACATAAGACTGTAAAATTGAGTGCATGGTCTTTTTTTCAATGATTTGCCATATAATGAATGTTAGACATCCAGGTAATGAGGTACACAAGGAAATTGTTATTCAAGCAACTGGATAGATTTTGAGACTGTCAGATGTTTCAAGTAGCATCAACTACTTATTGTTACCGACAGTTTGTCGAAATGTCTGACAGTTTCAAAACCTTTCCATAGCTGCTTGAGTAACAGTTTCCTTGTGGATTTTCAATATTGTTTGTTATTTAAATTGATGTACATTTTTTTCTACAGTCCACAGACTGTAGGCATTATTGTCAGACTAGAGAGGGAGTCTTTCTCAGTACTCAACATGCACGGAAAGGTAAGGATGGTCTCTTTCTATTCAGTAATGATACAGTAATCATACAGTAACTAAGTCTACAGTAGTCTAGAATTGATCCCCCTGTATCACTGGGGCATGGTTTTAAAATAGCTTCCTGTTAAAGATCTTAACCTCAATATCTGTGTTGTGGTTTTATGTATCAGATTTGACTGAAATGATGGTTTTTACTGATGTTGTGTTATTCCAAAGCATGGTTTCAATGTGAGTGCTAGCCACATGTATCAGGCATGCAACTTTAGGGTAGGTCAAGTCACTTATGTTAGCATGAAAGTTCATCCAAGTTGGTGATTTACATAAGTGATAAATAAAACTGTTCTCTAACTTAAAGAAATTTGACTCACTGGAATTTTGGACCGAGGAAGACCAAGAGATTCAGTCAAAAATTCAGGTGAGTCAAGTTTCTTTGAGGTAGAGAACAGTTTAATTTTTCCCTACATGTGGATGTTGTTGTTTTCCTTCCCAGGTTGTTAACGTGAAACAGAATGCAGTCACACAGAAGAAAAACACCAGAAATGCTGTCGCTCTCGATGCAGAACAGAACAACATCCAAGTCAGAGACATAGTCAAGGTCATCGACGGGCAACACTCTGTAAGTTTAGCAAGTCACAACTAAAGTCGCCTTCATGCAAGCTTTCTTATTGATGCAGCAAGCCAAGGTTTAACTGGCAGTAGTACTGTACAGTGATACAAGATTGGAAGGTGTGTTGTTTTGATCTAAATGTTAGAGTCCTAAACTAGACATACATGGCTTTTGTCAATCCTTTTCAAGACCTGACACATCCAAGAAATAACCTATTTTGGACATGATTAATAAGGTCACAAGGTATGGGCAATGACAATTGTTGCTTCCTTAGTATCTGTCATCAACAGTTTGTAATCAAACCACAAAAGGTAAGGGTAATAATATTTCCATAGCCCACAGTGTTTAGGGCAAGGTATTGGAAGGCAGAGCCCATCCCTCTCCTTCCACTGTCTTTTACCTCCCAACCAAAGTCAGGTATTTTACACCTGGGTGGAGTGAGGAAAGTTGTGTCAAGCACCTTTCCGAGGGACACAACGTCTATCCAGGAATGCCAGGAATCGAACTCATGACCTCTCGGTCTCACATCCACTATACTAACCACTCAGCTATTTGACTCCACAAAGTGTTAACAGTGTGTGGTTTTTCCTGTGTAGGGTCGACAAGGTGAGGTGAAGCACCTGTACCACAGCTATGCCTTCCTCTACTCCAAGTGTTAATACTAGTGTGTGGTTTTTCCTGTGTAGGGTCGGCAAGGTGAGGTGAAGCACCTGTACCGCAGCTATGCCTTCCTCTACTCCAAGTGTTAATACTAGTGTGTGGTTTTTCCTGTGTAGGGTCGGCAAGGTGAGGTGAAGCACCTGTACCGCAGCTATGCCTTCCTCTACTCCAAGATGATGACAGACAACGGTGGGATGTTCGTGGTCCGCTCCAGACATGTCGTACTCGCAGGAGGGTCAAGGGTAAGTTACTCATTCTAGATCTTTCTGGTATTTTTACATCAGCTGTTTTTGCAGTCACTTCTCTTGTAGTGAAAACTGAATCCAATGAAAACAGTGTATAAAGTACAATGTAAAAATGAAGTACATTGTATCTGGCCAAGAATAGTTTCATCATGTCACTGAATAAAGAGACTCTTTTCATGCAAAAGATTTTTTATTCAGCTGACGATTCGGTGACTGTCTGTCACCTTCCTCAGGGCAATTCTGACTGGTTCACATTGCACTGCAGCACAGGTGTCGCTGCTACAGATGTATTTCCAAATGCAAAGTATACACATGTATCTTATACATAGTATCGGCTTTAAAAAGATGAATTTGTATGTTTATTTTAATGTTATACAGCCCAGTAACACGACGACAGTGATGGGAGGGTTTGCCCCGATGTCTCCTAGACTGTCCAGTCCACAACACCCCAGCAGTGGTGGGGGTAAGTCACTCTCATTAACCCTCACCATATACATGTAGACTTCTACTGTTTATTTAAGCCTATATGCTTTTCATTGAGGTAAACATCTGTTAACAATAGATACTGTAATTCCTGATTCTTTTTATGGTACATTTAATGTTAGCATTTTTTATAGTCACTTCTGTGCCGTGAAGTGCATGAACTTATCATTAGTGTTAACAAATAATACATTAACTTTCTTTTTTCAGCACCTGCCACCTCAAACATATAGTTACTATGAACATTGAGTGAAGATTTAAAACAGTGAATGTTTTGTGTATGAGATTCCTGATTCTGTATGTGTTTACAGGAGACAGAGGAGGAGGTAGTGGGGGAGGACAGGGCAGGGGACGGGGGCGTGCCAGGAGGGACATGGAACTCATCGGGCAGACTGTCAGGATCTGTCAGGGGCCTTACAAAGGTGAGTTCATCAGGCAAAGGGTCAGGATCTGTCAGGGGCCCTGTAAAGTACCAGTAAGACATGTAAGGATCTGCCAGGCTTGTCTCTTGGTCTACATTTATTGAAATTCCATTATTTTATTATTATACTTCTTTATTATTATATTATTGGGAGAAATGCATAGCCCATACATGTACATGTTATGCTAACATCCGAAAGAAGAAAATGTTCTATATGTACATGTACATGTATTTGTTGTATTGTGTGTTTCCAGGCTATATTGGTATGGTGAAAGATGCTACAGAGTCCACAGCCAGGGTAGAACTACACTCCAGCTGTAAGACTATCTCTGTAGACAGGTCCAGACTCAACCCTGTAGGGTAAGCAACATGTTTATGTATACTATATACATTGAAATGTATTTATAGAATTCTATTTATGAAAAGTACAGTTGCCTAGTACAGTTACTGTACTGGTACTTCTTAAACATGGCTTTCTTTTATGTAAATGCAGTCAGCCCTCAACCATGTTGCTTGTATGAAAATTGTTTTGTTCTGTTGTTTTCTAGGGGTCCAGTTAGAGGAGGAGCCAGTACATCGTACGGTAGAACACCGATGTACGGCTCACAGACCCCCATGTACGGCGCCGGGTCACGTACACCCATGTACGGGTCACAGACTCCGCAGTACGAAGGTAAGACCGGAGGATGGGCAACTATAGGACTGAAAATGGCAGCACCAGAATTAGAGGGTTAGGCCACACCAATTTAATTTGTTTCTCGGATTTTTTCAGAAAAAATGTGAAGCGACAGGGAAAAAAAACAAGTGTAGGCATGCTATTGTAGCCCCAAATGTTACGATAGGAGCCATGAAGTCAACACAAAAGGTTGGCTTAATATTTAAACAATGAATTTTGAACTTTTAATCAAACCACTGCATTGATAGATGGAAAAACTGTAATAACTAGGAAGAAGAGGACTTTCCTCAACTGATGGGGGTAAAAAAAAATTCTCAGTTGATTCAGAACCAGAATCCTTTTTTTTTGCAAATCAGAAAAAAATGAAGAGGCAAATCTGAGAACCAACAAATTAAATTGGTGTGGCCTTATCATATTAATGTTTGGAATTAGGGTTAGTAAACAAGGATTAGGGAAGGTACTTTTAGTAAAATATAGCAATTAAATGCAGCTGTCTTGTACACTTTTATCACACATTTAAACACATTGTTATGACCTCTAGATTCAATTATATGATGTAGTCTTCCAGAATATGGTCCAGTCTGTATACTAGCCTTGTATCGTCGTAGACAATGTGAGAGCTTGAAAAAACTGCAAACAAACTGCTTTTCTGATTTTTACAACTTTCCACCCCCCTACAGGAGGCAGAACCCCCCACTATGGTTCGCAGACCCCCCTGCATGACGATGGTAGCCGCACCCCCGGCAGAACAGGGGCGTGGGACCCCACCAACCCTAACACCCCCTCCAGGTGAGCTGTGTTGGTTGTGGTAGTCATTTACATCTCTGTGTATCAAGCTGCAAGGTAGCCACGTGCAACCTACCATTTATGTGCATAAAGAATATCAGCTTGAAAGAACGTGACCTCTGAAAAGTGGCAAGCGGACTGATTACAGTTTTACTATAACTAAAGCTCAAACAAACAAGAAAGTAACATCACCAGTATGTATGTTTCCATCCCCTCAGGCCGGATGATTTTGATTATCGTTTTGACGACGCCACGCCGTCGCCGCAAGGTTACGGAGCGGCCACACCAAATCCCGCCACGCCGGGTTACGTGTCGGCGGACTCTCCGGCCGACCACTCCGGACCGTTCACGCCACAGACGCCGGGAACGGCGGGCATGTACGGCAGCGAGACCACGTACTCACCGTATCAACCCACGCCATCACCACAGGGGTCGTACCAAGGTATATCCTGTACCTGTAGCATACAGTCAAATTTAACCACTTAGGGGACCGTCAAAAGTTGTCACTTTGGCCAGGTTTTCCTTATGCAGAGGTGGTCACTTGTAACTATAGCTTACATGAAGTTGAGACAGTGAACATGTTTGTAACAACATTTGTCAAGTTGATGTCAACCCATATGGACATTGTAGAAATATAGAAAAAAAATTGCAAGATTGTAGAATTTAAGTGCACAAAGTAAGCAAAAAAGTCAATTTTGTGCTCTGCAAAATCTCACTCTGCTAGTTTTTAGATGCACTTGCATTAATGCATCCACAGCAGTGCGAAGGTTAACCTTGCTGTGTTGTATTTCCAGCCACCCCCAGTCCCGCAGGTTACCAACCTGCCCCCTCCCCAGCCGGCTACCAAGCCACCCCCTCGCCCGCTGGCTACCAGGCAACCCCCTCCCCTGCAGGCTACCAGGCCACCCCCTCACCCCTGGGGTTCAGCCCCATGACCCCGGGGGCCCCCTCACCGGGGGGGTTCAACCCCCAGACACCGGGGGCTAGCCTGGACCAGGGAGGGACTGATTGGCAGACAGTGGACATCACCGTGCGAATCCGCGAAACCCACGAAGACCCCGACCTCATCCACCAGAGAGGTGTTATCCGCAGCATATCGGTGAGAACTGTGGTCATTAACTGTATTTTATCTTGAAAGTTCATTCATATTGGTAGAAGTCATTATGAAGCAAGTTTAAACTGTAATTTCCGATGCAAGAGCAAGACTCACCAAAATGTATGACAGAACAACTCCAGTCTTTTGTTTAAAGGTAAAACTTTTGTTCCACCACAAAAGGTAAATATTCTCACCCAGAGCTTTTAACCAGTCACTCTGGTCTTCCTAAGGGGGGCTGACATCGTTTCCCAGATACTTTTGACCCAGTGTTGATGTCACGCTTTAGAGAAGACAAGTGACAAGTGTCACTGGGTCAGTCTACTGGAGGAATGACAGTACTCACTATTGTCTGCCCCCCTCCCTCCCCCTCCAGGGTGGTATGTGTTCCGTGTACCTGTCAGAAGCAGACAAAATGGTGAACGTGATGGGAGAACACCTGGAACCTGAGGCACCTGCCAAGAACGACAAGGTAATATGGCTTTCATGTAACATCAGTCAGATGAGGAAAGCATGTACTCTCCAAGCAGAGGTTGGTGGGGAAGATTGTAACCTTTCTAATATATGCCCCATTCATTTCTGTTTGAAATAAAGCGTAGGTACTTTCCTTGCTGTATTGGTAGATAAAATGTTCTTAAAACATATGCCATTGAAGATATTTGACTGGTATTTACAGCTAGAATGGAGATTGCTATGTCATTGTCAATTTTGGGCCTCCTTGCAGCTTTCCCAGGTATTGCTGAGGAGCCGTTTTTGTATCTTCTGTTCTAGACATGCTATGGTTTTGTTGACTCTGACATGAATGTGTTAATGTGACCACTCACCAGGTTATGGATATGATATTGGAGTTTTCTTTCACACAACGAAGATTGTCTCACCTAGGTGCTAACATTTCGGTGTCCATCATCAGACACCTTCCTCAGAGCTTCTGACTGGAGTTCTGCTTCTTGCCGCTATATGTAGCTGATGTAGGTGGCGCTTTTGCGGCGAGAACACAATCCAAAACGTGGCAAAGAAAACTCCTGTATCCTATACTTTACCAACCTGATGAAACTATTTTCGGATGTCCAGGTTAAAGTGATATTGGTACTGCAGAGGAGCTGTTTTTGTATCTTCTATTCTGGACCTGCTATGGTTTTTTGTTGACACTGACATAAATGTGTTACTTGTCCAGGTTAAGGTGATATTGGTACTGCAGAGGAGCTGCTGTTTGTATCTTCTATTCTGGACGTGCTATGATTTTGTTGACTCTGACATGAATGCGTTAATGTGTCCAGGTTAAGGTGATATTGGGAGAGGACCGAGAGGCAACGGGAACTCTCATCAACATCGACGGCCAGGACGGGATCGTACGCATGGACCTGGACGCACAGCTCAAGATCCTACAGCTCAGATTTCTGGGGAAACTCGGACAGAAGGACTAGTAGTCTAGTAGAGGGTTCTTAGAAGGCGAAGACTGTGTAAGGTCGTGCAGCGTAGTTTCTTAAGAAATGTAGAAAAAAGAGATGATAGGAGAAGTACAAGGAAAGAAAGGAGTCTGGTAATTTGTAAGGCAATGGCAACAGGAATTCTGTGACACAGAATTAAGAGGAGACTTGTTCAAAACTTGTGGACTGGGCAGATGTCATTATTCAGACCAGTATGGAAAGGACAGCTAAACATTACTGTACAAGCTGAATGTTACAGTTCAAGGTATGGAAAGGACAGCTAAATGTTACTGTACATGGAAAGGATAGCAAAACATTACAACATATGAAAAGGACAGCTAAATGTTACTGTATGAAAAGGACAGCTAAATACTGTATTACTGTACAAGGTATGGATGGACAGCAAAAAGGATAGCAAAATATAACTAAAACTACTAAAAGGTATGAAAAGGACAGCAAAATGTTGCTGTACAAGGTATGAAAAGGACAGCTAACATTTCTGTACTAGGTATGAAAAGGACAGCTAAATGTTACTGTATAAGATATGGAAAGGATAGCAAAACATTACAAGGTATAGAAAGGACAGCTAATCGTTACTGTTTTAAAAGAACAGCTAAACATTGTACAAAGTATGGAAAGGACAACCAAACATTACTATACAACATGTACAAGGTTTTCAACATGAAACTTACTGTACAACAAAAGGCCGAGATAACTGTTCTAGTTGTGTTGACAAGGCAGACACTTTCTTTTTACATACGTATATTACTCCACTACTCCTCTTTACTATTCTCAAAACAGACATATGCCTTTGACTTGTTTTTGTGTGTCTTTCCACTTACTTTATACTACTTATTGCAACACCTTTTTTTTACTTCAAGATAGGTTCTCTTAAAAAGAGTACCGATTGAAAAACAAGCAAAAACCACATGGCTTCTTTGGAAGTGTACATTAAGAAGAAAATCTACTGTGTAGTACAGATTTGTAGACCACATTCCTAGTCAAATGTAGGTAGATTCATTGATGCACCCACCAAAAAGGATTGTAGGGTGGGGTGGTAGGAAATATTGTGTTAGGCATTTGTAAAATTATACTTCATACACATGTACAAGAAATAGTATAGAAAAAATGACACACTAACAGAGTTCATAGTCTGTTGCCATCCCTAAAAAAATCCCAAGGTCCTTCCTGGCACATCCACACAGTACATTCATCTGTTGTCTTTTTTATTGCCAAAATATAAAACACTTCTACATCAAGTACTAGTGTGATCTGAGTATGATATTACTGTGGTAACAGATATCAATAGTCCAGAAATGTTAGTCTAACATTCATTTCAAAAGAAAATGAGAAAATTGACCAATGTACATGTAGGCTAGCACTAGTCCACTTACAGTTTGAAGAGAAGAAAAGTTGTAGCCTGAACATTTTCATTGAATCCACAATCCTCCTGGCCAATCTGTAATACATGTATATGAGTATAGCCTGTTGTTACCGAGTCCTACAGTCTCTTTGCAAATAGCCTCAGAGTCTCTACAGCCTCTCTATTTGTGGATAGACTGTAGGACTCGGGAGCTATAATAGGTTTGGTAACCAGGCTAATACAAGTAGTGTATTGGCTATTGCTGTATAAATGCCTGAGGGACTTCAGCATGGTAACAAGGTTACAATGTCAGAGATGGTAGCAGAGTACACATTACCACGTTTTAATATTCCTGCCTTTGAGAGAGAGACTTGGTGTGGTACACATACAGGTTGGACATTTCTGATAAAAAAGTATAAAAACTGCCCTCGTGTTGTCTGCTTTTCTGGAGTAGTTCTAATAGTTTTATTAGCTTAAATGTATGAATATTGAGTGATAGGATACAGGTGCTTCATACAGAAAACACCAATGTCAATAGTGTAGGATAATTGCTTGGATCAATTTCTGCAGTTAGAATGTTCAACATGACTGCTACAAAACAGCCCCCTCCTTCCTAACTTATGTCTCAATAGTCATACCAGGCAAATATCGCCAGGAAATACACGCTGGTGTGACGATAGTCAGTTATTTAGAACTCGTCAAGTTAGGATTATAAATCCACTGAGATTGGATAATAGCTACACAGTCAGCTGTTACAGGCTTTCAATTCATATTAGATGATCTCACGGCCAAGCCTGTACAAGGCTATCAACCCCCTTTGAGTGCCCCACGGTCAGTTAACATTCGATCCTTCTGAATCGCCGCAAAGTCAGGCTGTTCCAGGCTACGAGATCCTTCTGAAAAGCCGCACGGTCAAGCCTGTTTTTGGTGCTGACCTTGGTGCTGATCAAGAGGCCTGGAGCAGAGAAACCCTACAGAGGAGTGTGATAAATCGCTAGAGGTCGCTGCTGCATGGTCTAGCATTGTTGACCTCCAGTGCAAATCGTATTTTCTACCACTGCACTGTTGTGCAATTCGTCTGCGTGATTCTACCCTTTAAGTGTCCCATGGCCAGGCCTGTTCCAGGCTATCAATTAATTTTGAATGGCTACAAGACCATGGCCAAACCTGTACAAGGCTGTTATGGTTTGTAGCATGACGCAATCACGCAACCACATGTGTTAGTGACTCGTTCCCAGGTTTCGACATCAGGGGCTAAAATAGAGATTTACCGAATCCCGGTATAGTGGAATATTTCGCTAACAATCACCCTTTGCACACCCCTCTTCTTGCTCGTAAGTTTATATTGTTCCGATTCTTAGAGATTTAATTTTCTTCTGGACGATATACGAGATCTTGATCGTCCTACAACAGAAGTACGAAGAAGTGCAGTACGCAATTATCCCCTATGTGAGCCTCCGCTAAAACTCCTTTGTTTTTATGCTAAAAGAGACTTTAATATAGAGTAACATGTAAACAAACATGGCGGCCCGGTTGTAATTTCGCAGAGAGTTCTGGCGAAATATTCTCTCAACGGACAAACTCCCTTGGCATGCTTATCTCTCTATTTGGCTGATTTCTACTCCTTCCAGCCGCCTCCCCAAGCCTGGTAGAGGCTAAGTTCTGCACACGACTCGCACACAGTAGACTGTTGTTCCACTTCACAAATCGCCAGAGGTCGCTGCTACACGGTACATCCGCCGGAAAGTGTCAATACGTTTCACCGACGTCAGGGCGCTTTGCAGTGAATGGGACGCATATTTCCAACTCTAATCCTAATCATAACTTCAATTCTAACCATAGCGATAACCAAAACAACCGGCTAAAACATGCGACGGCGAAACATAACAGGAAATGTTGCTGTGAGTGACTTAATTTAGTATTTTGTACAAAGGTTCATCACAAAGGCCAGTGTGCACTGCTACAGTTACGTCATAGTGACGTCGGCCACAGGTAAATGTGACCCTGCAGTTTAAAGACAAATCGGCAGAGGCCACTGCTACACTGTCCATCTGGCGCATAGTGTCAATACGTTTCACCGACGTCAGGGCGCTTCGCAGTCAAGTGAGCGCATATTTCCAACTCTAACCCTAATCATAACTTGAATTCTAACCATAGTGAGAACCAGAACAGAGTCTAAAAACCTGGGACGGCGAAACATAACAGGAAATGTTTCTATGAGTGACTTAATTTTGTATTTTGTACAAAGGATCATCACAAAGGCCAGTGTGCAACTGCACCTGTACATGTTCTCACCGCACAACACAGTATTCATGGGCGAACCCCGTACGGGTACAAAGTAGTGCTGCTCAATACTAGCGAGAGGTGCAGCCATTGTTCTGTGCATGGCATCGAGATGGAAACTGTGGTAAATGTTAGAGGAATACGTCAGTTTTGAGACTTTAAAGAAGTTGAATTATGGTGCGTGTTCAGTTGGCGTAGATTTGCAGGCCGCCATGTTTGTTTACATGTTCGGTGATGTTGAATAGTAAAATTAGCGTCTCTTTCGTAGCAACATTCCCGAAAACGCCGCCGAAATTGCGGTTTCCTGTTATGGTTTGCCGTCCCATGTTTTTAGCTGAAATTTGGTTGTTATGATTATCGCCATTGTTAGATTTAATTAGTGTTAGAGTAGGAAATAGTCGTTCCCTTGACTGCAAAACGTCCTGACGTCGGCGAAACGTCAGGACGAAACCTGGCGGATGGACAGTGTAGCAGTGGCCTCTAGCGACTTGTCTCCAAACTGCAGCAGTGCAGGGTCACATTTACCTGTGGATGACGTAACTATGACGTAACTGTAGTAGTACACAACTTACCGTACAAGTATCAAAGCGCAAATCTACGCCGACTGAACACGCACCATAATTCAACTTTTACAGTCTCAAAACTGACGTATCCTCTAACATTTACCAGAGGTTCCATCTCGATGCCATGCACAGAACAATGGCTGCACCTCTCGCTAGTATTGAGCAGCACTACTTTGTACCCGTACGGGGTTCGCCCATGAATACTGTGTTGTGCGGTCGGAACCATTTAAGTCTCACGAACATGCAAATGAGGTAATTTGCACCATTTGAATCTCACAAACATGCAAATAAAATGATTTTCATGCAGATCACGCCGTGTGGCGCTACACATGTCCATAAAACGTGACTCAAATTCTAAGTTATATATTGTGTAGTTTCTTCCGGTTCTTAAGAAGCCAACACGACCAATTCTACCGTGTCGCGCACCAAACACAACGGGGCCGCCGTGTTTGTTCACATGTTGAATAGTAAAAGTAGCGTGTCTTTCGTAGTAACATTCCCGACAACGCCGCCGAAATTGCGGTTTCCTGTTATGGTTTACCGTCCCATATTTATAGCTGAAATTGTGTTGTTATGATTATCCTATTGTTAGAATTAATTAGTGTTAGAGTATGTATGAAACAGTCGTTCCCTTGACTGCAAAACGTCCTGACGTCGGCGAAACGTCAGGACGAAGCCTATGGTTGTATAGCCCAGTCAAAAGCTAATTACACTGTAATTTGACAAAATACACTGTATTTTTGACCGAAAACAGTGTATTACAAAGAAAACAGTGTATTGCAGGCAGATTACACTGTAATAGACAAATACGGCGTTTGTAAGACAGAATACAGTGTATCTGAGGAATTCACTGTATCGCAGCCAGTACACTGTAACGTCCCTCCAATACACTGTAACGCCTCTCCAATACAGCGTAAAAGTCAACACACTGTGACGCCCCTCCAATACAGTGTAACAGTCACAGTACACTGTGATGGCTCTAATACAGTGTTACACTGTAATGATCCCAATACGCTGTAATGATCCCTACAGTGTAATAGACTCAATACACTGTTATGATCTCATTACACTGTAATAATGCTCAATACACTGTAACAAGAAATACGGATGGAACCTTGCAGTACCGCTTCGTTCCGCCAGTCAGAATGCAAGCACAAGGGGATCACCAGGCGTGCTTGTGCTTACGTACAGACTAGAGTCATTACATAGTGCTTGATGACCCATATAAAAAATGTCGATCATTCTGTCACTTAGGGGAGAGGTCATCAGTCAAGAATTCGGAAGAGTTTGGAAGCCCTTGCCAGAAATGTTTCAATATTTCTAGCCTCCACAGTTGTTTGGGGTAAGGAGTTCCAGTCATTTACCGTTCGTGGCAGGGACGACGCTGCTCGATACTGAGTCCTGCCCCAGAGTTGTGCAATTTGTTGGTCATGCACCCGTCTCTAATATGTAATGGAGCAGGATGGAGTTTGCCCCTGAGCCCATCTGTACAGACAGTGTTGTGCTGCATTTGGTGGAGCCCTCCCACCATTTATGTTGATTTGATGGCGCCATTGATAAAAGTCAAAGTTGGTGGACTAGACTTCGTCATAATCTTGGGTGTAAATTTGACCACGGTTTTACCTCTTGTATAGTTTTGTCATATGATTGAAAAAAGCAAAAAATTATTTCCAAAATCCATGTTGCTTGTCTTTATGCGAGTGAGACACACATTCACGCAACTTCATTCCTTCACCATGTTCTCGGAGGGTATACTCATAATCTTCATTTGTGGTAAGAAATAAGCATTGTGTGCTGGCTAACGGGATACATCCATCTTGCCAGATATTCGTCTTAATATAATAATCCTGTAGTTTTCAAGTTACCTTCTAAAAGTATATCAAGGTTTGATGAACACACCAGTACACGTTACGTTAATTTAAGGAATATGAGTCCGAATCATTACTAATTACACCAATGAAAAAGTCATTACTGACTGTGGGAGATGATTATTAAGGGGCACTCATCACCAATAAATATCAAATTATTTCTAAAATAAAACCGCTCCTAAATCCGAAGCGAGAGCGTGAAAAACAGGAAAGAAAAAAAGATGCCTACATTTGAAAATACTAAGGGATGAAAAATGTTAGGCCACAAATTGAATGAGAAAACAGTGTAACAGCCAACAAGTCTTTTATTTGTCATGCACCAGCAATAAAACAGTGGAATAGTAGATTAACTCGTTTGTCAATCAGACTTTACAAATGAAGACGTAGACTAGCACTATCATCATCTTGGAATGTAAATGTAAAAGATGTCTACAGTTCTCCTATCTCATAATATCTAAGCCTGAAGCTTCACATTAGTGCTTCTAACATTTTAGCTATATCACAACAACAACAGTCATCCTCTCAGTTTCTCAGTTATTGGATTGTAGTTGATGGACTATTTATTTGCTTTACATATTTTCTGATTAATGCCAACTCTTGATTCCCGGATTTTAGCAGGAAATCAATGGAGCGAGTGTGCTATATAAAAACACTAGCATCCTATGAAAGATCCAAAAACTACCGGTACCATAGAAACAACAATGTTAACAGTCATACAGTTGTACTAGGCTGGTTTGTACAACAAATTGAGGCACGTGGATTGGCTTGAGCTAAATAGGAACCAAATTAACATCCACAGGTGCAGATCAGAAGGTGACTTCAATCTCAGCTTGAAAGGAAGGTTGTCAGCGACCGAATGCCACTCAGAAGTTCTACCTCTGCTTGAGTGTCTCCTTCAGGCTCGCTCAGACCTTGAACTATTTGCCTTTAGGTTGTTCTCCTAGACACTGATACTGTCAATAGAAGAGTGCAGAATACATCCAAGTCAGTAAACACACTTTGCTTCAAACCATCAAGGTTACCTCCATGTTCAAACAAGGATTGATATCTCATGCAATAAGGATCCAAATTCCTGATGAAATATCTACTTGGATTTTCAGCAACAGTATCCTAATTCTTACCTAGTGGAAAATGGTGTTGTTAACCTACAGACTGACAGAGTGGTTTGGACTTACATGGAACATTTATTCATGCAATGTGTCTTTGTTAGTACAAATGTATGACCAGCTGCTGTCCATCTCCTCTCTGAGCCTTGCCATGGCTGACTGCCTCTTTGCAAGCCTGGTTCACCCTGGTCACACCAAGGGCCAATAACATGCAGTAGGAAAGCCTGTGCCAACACTAGTAACCTCTCCACCGGACATCCTCTGCCCTACAGTGTCAGGATTCCGGACCACCCCTCACATCGTTTGGCCGGCCAGCTGAGGCCGTTGCCCGGGGGTTGGCACGAGGAGCCAGACGTGAGAGGCTTTAGGGGATGGGAGGAACCAGTATGCTAGACACCCTATGGACTAAGAGTGTAGCAGGAGGAACCCATGTGCTTAGCTACTCTAACAGTCAAGAGTACAGCTGCTAAGCTATCACATGTCCCAGAGCCCCTTAACCCCCACCGCAGGCATCTACACAGAAATAGGGAAGCAGAGAAGTCAGTTTAAGTAAAACAGTAATCAATACTGTTGAACACCTCTACCTGTTTAAGGGAATCAATACAGTAAAAATACAGTTTTAAAACATGTTAAAAGGAATCTTAGGCCAGTTTAAGGCAGTATCTTCCTCAATAAAACACCTTCACCTGACAGCCTCAGGGGAAAGCAGTCATCAATTCAGTTAAACACCTTCCCCTGTTCAAGAAAAAAATGGCAGTCCAGTGAGTCAGATTACAGTTAAATGCCTTGACCTGTTCCAGGAAAGAAAAACAGTAATCAATTTAAGGCGGCATAAGTCTTCAAACATAAGCCCAGAACAAAGCTCAAGAATCTTATGACAGTTAAAGGTGGTATCTGACTTCTAACATAACATAACCTAGAACATAACCTAGTATTCTGAGGTGGTTTAAGGCAGTATCTGCCTTCTAACATAACCTAGAACAGAAACCAGGAATCCCATTTTCAAACATTATAACCTAGAACAGGACTCAGAAATCTTAAGACGGTTTAAGGTGGTATCTGCCTTTAAAATAACCAATGAATCTTAACGTTAGCTTTAAGGCGGTATCTGCCTGAATGGAAACATACAATGCAACCTACTCTGAATGCAAAAATAACCAAGGAATCTTAAGACAGTCTAAGTCGGTATCTGCCTTTCACTATAAGTAGAATATAACCCAGGAATCTTAAGACGGTTTAAGGCTTAATGTGCCTTTAAAATAACCCATGAACCCTAAAATACAGTTTAAGGCCGTATCTACCTTCAAACAGAACCTAGGTTTCACATACAGTCTGACACATACTGTTCATATACACACATAGAACATTCCCATGTACAATCAATCTCACAACACAATTCCAACCTCTGACACATACTGTTCATATACACACATAGAACATTCCCATGTACAGCCAATCTTACATACAGTCTGACACATACTGTTCATATACACACATAGAACATTCCCATGTACAGTCAATCATACATACAGTCTGACACATACTGTTCATATACACACATAGAACATTCCCATGTACAGTCAATCTCACAACACAATTCCAACCTCTGACACATACTGTTCATATACACACATAGAATATTCCCATTTTCAGCCAATCTCAAAACACAATTCCAACTTCTGACTCTCACAATCTCAAAATCTCTGACTCTCAAAATCTCACAACAGAGGAAAAAAGCAAGTAAACAATAGAAGCAACCAAACACCTGTTCAGAGGTAAAAATAAAGTAATCAGTAACAAAAAAACTGGACTATGCTTACAAAATGTACCTGTTTGGAGGAAAAAAGCTATTAAACAATAGAAGCAACCAAACACCTGTTCAGAGGTAAAAATAAAGTAATCAGTACAAAAAAACTGGACTCTGCTTACAAAATGTACCTGTTTGGAGGAAAAAAGCTATTAAACAATAGAAGCAACCAAAAACCTGTTCAGAGGTAAAAATAAAGTAATCAGTACAAAAAAACTGGACTCTGCTTACAAAATGTACCTGTTCGGAGGAAAAAAGCTATTAAACAATAAAAGCAACCAAACACCTGTTCAGAGGTAAAAATAAAGTAATCAGTACAAGAAACTGGACTCTGCTTACAAAATGTACCTGTTCGGAGGAAAAAAGCTATTAAACAATAGAAGCAACCAAACACCTGATCAGAGGTAACAATAAAGTAATCAGTACAAGAAACTGGACTCTGCTTACAAAATGTACCTGTTCGGAGGAAAAAAGCTATTAAACAATACACAAGAGCATTCAGAGTGTTGCCAACAACTTCACTTGTTAAGAGAAAAAGCCAATTCTGTGTAATACGATCAGTAATCCACTGATGCCTGTTAAGAAGGGAAAAGTCATATCAAATATATGTAGCTAAAGTCTTATGCCTGTTGGGGAAAGAGCTAGAGGTCAAATCTCTATTGCTCTATAGTTAGTAATCTCACTTGCAGTCCCAAATGATTGACCTTGCTACTGAAAGTCTAAGTCCTGTGTCAGCATAATTCCTCATGTCATTTGGCAGGTCAGCTGAAGTTGTTGCCCGTGCAGGATGACATGGTAGGTGTGAGGCAGGACCTGCAGGCAGAGAAAGTAACATTCATTATCCCATTATAACATTTCATTGACACCCCCATCCCTTGGAAACAAGCATATACTTCCTCAACTTACTGTACAATTGACCCATCAGCTAGGTTCTTTCAATATAGACTCTTACATAAGTTCTTACCTACAAATAGACTTTTACATATTTGGAAATGTATTGATAATCCATTGTGCTCATTCTGCCAGTCCGAGGGAGAAACCTACAAATGTACCTTCATGTGTTTTGGGAATGCCCTAATCTAATTAAATTAGCTTTTGGGATAAAATAAAAACTTGGTACTTTCAAAAAACAGGTCAACATATTTATTTAACTAGTTTTATCATTATCTTTGGAAACCTGCTTCCTAGCACCCTACAATCCAAAATTTAATTATTCCGTTACCAAAAATCATTATATACAATAATAGAAAGTCCAACAAAGTAAATTTTGAATACTTTCTTGGACGATATATAAATTTCTTTTAAAAAGTTGAATACGATATTGCTGCAAGAAAAGAAAAAGTGGAAAAACATCTGGGAAAATGGGGCACTCTTGGTGATTAGTACTGTTGTGGTAAAAATTCATGATTAATCAAATGCAAAATAATAATTTGGCCGAGTGTGGTTAAAAGTTAAATTTGCTCACAGCACTGAATCACTTTGATGGAGGATCCCGGGGTGCCCTTTCTCAGCTAGGAAAGTTAAGCATCCAACATTATAAACTGCAAAATAAGATTACTAGTAAAAATGCATAGAAATATGTATATTTTGGGCAAGTGAAAAAGTTGGTGGAAATGAACTTGTACTTGCCCAATGGGAAAAGTGGCTTTTTGAAAACTTGTCTAACCCTTAGTCATGCTCTATATACCTTTTGTATTTGTTGATTATAGGCGCTGGGCTAAAAAATTCATTTTTACTCAAACATGTGTATACACACCTAAATCATGTACATTTGATTTTGTCACTCCACTGAAAATGTTGTGGTGGCAATGAGCAGATCCGAATCATGGCTGTTTTGGCCAGGTGGTCGCCCTGAGTAGGCTGTTCGTGCTTGTGTCAAAGGAGAAAAGTTTCAGGAAAAGGTCCGGCTTGAAGAGATGGTTGCCTGGACAGGTTTGACTGTATACCGAACACATATATGTACATGCCAGAAGTTCACTGTGATAATCCCACATTCTAACACAACATGTCTTGATGCCTATTATAGTATTACAGTGTTCGAAATACCTGTCTGCAGTCTGCAATCTGCAGATAGATTTTCAAGATTGCAGAAGAAAAATTTATACAATCTGCAATTTTGCAGCAGGAAAAATTGGCACTTGGGATTTGGCGCTCTTGGCCCCAAGGACAGACAACGCTTAAGCTCCTATTCTGAAACAACAGGAGCTTCTTCACTAATTTGCATCAACCTTGTCTTGACTTGTCTATCTTTTGTTTCTTTTTGGACCTCAAAAAGTTGTCTTCCCTAATTTGCATATCAATCAATAGTTCATGCTTATAAACCTGCAAGATTGTAGTATGGAGGCTTGTGTATTTGCAGAAAGTATTTCCAAATTGCAGAACAAAATTTTGACTCTTCTGCAATACTGCAGAGCACTGATATATATTTTTTATTTAAGTATTTCGACCACTGTATTAAGTCATGCACTACAGTTGGGCAGAAGAGTTGGTTGGTACTGTGCAGGTTGGTACTGTGCATTGAAACCTTTACAAAAAACAGATGAAAAATGGAAGAAAATGGCATCATATCTCACCTTTCGTAATACCAGAGGTGAGGATTTATACCTAACTTTGGCCAGTAAGCTGTTGACTGCCCCAGGTCCCAGCCAGCAAGGCCATGCCATCTACAGGATAGAGGATATATCTTCGGCCTGATCCATTCACCAGATACATGCCCCTATACGTCATGAAGAAAACCATAGAATCAAGGCTTGCGCTGGTGTTACACTTACAAGGTGATTGCAAGAAAAAAGTTTCATGTGTACAAATATGTATTTGTACTACTGTTATTCATCCAGTTAGGGGCCCCATCACTTTGTCATTACTACTAGTTACCCACCCCCCTCCCTGGTTACAGTAACTACAATGTAGAAGGCATCCTTCTATACCCCTATACCAGCTATGTTGCCATGCATTGTACCGTGTATGATTGGCGCGGCATGAAGTTCCCTCATTCTAATGACACACCTTTTCACTTTTAGGTACTTTTCACTGGTGCAATACTATTGTAAATGGCAAACTCTTTTCTAAGCTGGGGTCACTATATCTTCATAACTGCAGAAAGCACATTATCTTTTAAGTCATAATTCTGTGTACTCAGAAGTGCCACTACTGACTCAAGCCCTCAGACTAGACTAGACAAAGACTATAAATTCACAGAAATCTTTTTCCATGAAACCACATGAATGCCATTCATGAACAACTTCAGATTTTAATAATGTCAATAACGTTTCTGATCTGTTTACATCTATGATGAGAAGACTTGTGTTAGCTCTTTTGGAACTTTCAAGAAAATACTCAAGGTAGTAAATGTTGTGTTTCCTGTTTCATTTCTGAGGAAATTAGGGTCGGTAGGTTATATGGATTTTTTTCCTTCTTTTTTTAGACTTCAGTGATATCTACTGTATATAGTGATCCAACTCATACAATATACAGTTTATCAAAGTAAAACTTGCATGAGGACACTTATATTTTCAATGTCAATGTTGGAAAACCTATTGTACAACGTTGCATCACTCAGGTGTCAGATCATGGGGCTATAAAAGGTTAATCAGCTTAAAACATGTATGTCCCTTGCAGGAGTCCACACAAAAAAGGTATGTGAGTTTGTTTTTTTCTATGCTCAGTCAGGAAACAGGAAACACAACATTTTTTCTTGTAGGCCTAAATTAGCATGTATGTCTTGTCAGGCCCCCGCTTGAAACAATTATACTTCTCTCAGCCTCTCTCTTCCCTGATGAGGGTATCTATGGTAATGATTTTGGAGCCAAGAGGCTAGCCTGTATACTTCCTCTGGCAACAGTCAGGCATCCAGGCTAAGGGCAACTACTACTAGTCTAGTAGTAACATTTATATTCAACAGAAACCAGTGCCTGGTGAGTGGTATTTTGGACATTTCATCAATCTGGTAGATCACCGTCGAGGGATACCATATGAAAGCACAGAAGGTGTGTACATGATATACCAGCAGTAAAACAAATTTTTGTGCAAGAACACTATTTTCCCACAGTATCTGACTGAATAAATTTATGCTCCTGGCACATGGGAAGACTCGCTCTCAGGAGGGGTCCCTGATCTAAAAACCAGACACTGCTGGTAAAACAAATAAAAGAGACATCAGCTCTTTTCCTGATTTGTCCTCTTGATTAACAGAAAAGCTAATACTAAGTAACATGTCTGAAAATTAAAAACGTTGTTCAATTTCAGTTCTAAACGAAAGCGAAAAGGCCAGCGAAAAGTGACCTTTCTGGAAACAAACAAAAGCTGCGAAACCCTACCATCGCATTCCATGCCAGGCGTTTCCCATGTCCTGTTTCCAATTAGCCGGAGTTTCATCAGGCCACGTTGATGATCCATTATGGATGGGTTTCCTACGGTCCGTTTTCTGCCATTAGGATCCCCTGCCTGGATCCCCTGTGCGAAAACAACAACAAGGCACATTTCCATTATTCTCCAAAATCATTCTGGAAAATAATGAGGTTTTTGAACCTCCTGACCCGTATTATTCTATGTCTGACTTTGGACCCGGCCTGCCAGACTTAATAGGACTGACCGTAAACTACGTAACGTTATTTGAAATCTAATACGTTGTCTCAGGACAACAAAGTTGTATAGTTCAACAAAAATTGTTACATATGTAACGTTAGATAAGTTGTCGTTACCTTTCAAGGAGCTCCTTGACTTTGTGGCGGGAAATAGTTTCTGTCACTAGCAATTGCGTGTGACATCTTCCGATGAGATAAATTGTTACGTCCCTGGAGCCGCGGTTACAAATCGAGGTATCTCACGAGTCATTGATTACAACGAATTCCGAGTTGATCCATCGATCCAACGTGTCTTTCTGGAAACTCTTCCTACGCCAAAGACTCCTGAGCTGAAGTCAGTGAAGAGTGTCCAACGTGCAGGCGCGCTACGTGGATATTTTCGGCACCTCGTTCCGGTCGCGAGTGGGTTCGGCTAAGGCTTCCATACTTTTCTCTCTCGTTACCGGCTATTCGTCTTCTAGGATTCTGTACTCTAGAACACAAGACACAGTGACTGCAACACGTCCTTGGTGTAATCATAGCCATCTTGGGAGCTGGGAGATGCTGCCAGACCTTTCTTCCCTCTTTCAAACGAACCGAGCGTTCCCAGCATGCAATCCGGTCCGTTGATGGTGACCCCGAGGGAGGGCCAAGCAGATGTGTTGGGGTTACAGGATCACCTCGATACCTCAAAAAGGCCCCCAAAAAGACTTTGACAGGAGGGTCCTGGGTGGGGCGAATTGAAACTCCAACAACAAAACACTTATCGGGTATGATAGATCTAGCATCTGATATAAATATGCTTATAAGATTAAGAGATATGTCATTCAGAATTCAAACGTAAAGTTGGACACGCGAAAACCATTCATCACCAAAAAGACTTCAGGGTAGAACTTACAGGATATTTAAAAGCAGAAAAATTATGACTGTTATGGCTATTGATGACGTCTTTGCAATGGCAATCCGACATCTTGACAGGGATTGGATTTCAACATTTGTTTTGCCTAGAAAGAACAGATCGACATTATGTATTGGAAACAGACTGCAGAATACTTTTAAGAATACTTTTAAGATGGGCTGTGACATTTAAAAATGTCACAGCCCATCTGTGTCATTCAATCATGTGTATTGTAATTTATAAAATTTACGTCACATTACGGCAAGGGATAATGGATCTACCAGGTCATCGATCCCTTTTCACTCCTGCGTTGTATAATTTTCTACATTAACGTTATTTTTATTTAATCGGGACTAGATTTAGCCCCTGCCCTATGTTGAAAATGGTAAAACCCGGCAGATTCGTAACTGATCTGGCCCTGCTGATCTGGTAACTGATACTGCTTGGCGGGAACAGACGGACTCCCCTGCGTTGTGGACGTCTACAGTAGCTCACACCCAGACACCCGGTGACACGTGGATCATCAGACCTTGCCACATGCACACGATGACCCCATTCTAGTTGAGCATTTGCGGAATTTTAACAGTCAGACAGACGATTTGCTGCAATGTCCCTCGGAAGTTGGACCATGGACAATGACATTGAGCGTGCGATACGGACAACTCCTATCAGTATGTATTTTTCATTTTTTTGTCTTTGCTGTTGGGAGGGTATACTGTTTGGTTAATCAAGTTCAACATGCCATGTAGTTATACCTCCATCCTGCAGTTCTACCAAGGACATCAATGTTTGAAGCTCACAGCTTCCACCTAGGACGGGCCATTGGCCACGCTTTTATAATGTATAATAGACACTTGACATGGAGAAATAATCCTTCAGTCTAGGAAGCACAGCTGTCGGACTGACCCAACACTCTGGACGGACCCCTTCCTCTTCCTGCCCAGTGGGTTCCGGGGGGGGGGGGGAGGCGCTCGCTAACCTCCTTAGGGCCTTAGCAGATACCTTTCGGACTCATACAAATACATAATTCACACAGCCTATTTATTACTTCTAGTAAAACTCATGCAGTACAGACAGTGTTTCAATACCTTCCTTTCTAGCCTCAGTTTTCCCTATGGACCACCAGATCACATGTAGTAGCCTGGGCCAAGCTGGCTGGAACTAATTACACACCTTCTATTATCAAGTTTCCATGGACCCAAGCAATGTCGGCTTGCTCCATGCATAGTTTTGCAACATTATAATCATCTCCCTCCAGGCACTTGTTTTGAATTTGCCAGTGTTGTGGCAAACTAGCCTGGGTTCCAAACCCAATCACACTGGACACAAAGTATCTTAGTGAGCCTGGACCCTACCAGACCCAGGCTCACTGAGATACTTTGTGTCCAGTGTCCAGTATGGGTTTGGAACCCAGGCTATGGCAAACAGAATCATATCATTTCCTGGCCCATCCCACTAGTGTTCTTTATTTCCCTTATAAGCTTGTACACCTCCCCCCTCTGTCTAGTTTAAAAATTCTTGTACATTTTATTGTATAGTTGGAATTTTCTTCAAAAATAAAAACATAGTTTCTATGACTAAATTCTTGCTCAAGTTGATAATGTCAGTAATTACCACCCGAAACAGCCCACCCACAGCTGTTAAAAGACAAGTAAATTTATTAGACTTAGAGACCAAACCCCATGCACACAGAAAGGATAGCCTGGAAAGTATCCCTAGCCCTGCACACCTTTCCGGAAACCCAAAAGCCTGCCAGGCTGGACAGCCTTTTCCGCAAACTCATACTTTGGCATATGTCAATAGATGATTCTTCTTTATACATAGGCAAATTTCACAATCCATTTTTTTGGTCCTTGCAAACAGTTGGTGGAGGTAGCGACAAAAAAAGGCCATATATAAAAAGCTAACAATCATTCCTACAACCTCTGCTTGGAGAGTAGTGCTTGCTACAATTATATATGAGTAGACACTAGTGTGATGCACTTCGTCATGCATGGGAAACAGTCCAGCCTTGTTTATATATAATAGACTACAGGCGCATAGGAAACAACACACCAATTTTCTGTTCCAGAAGGCAGAACCCAGACAGTATTTTTATTGTTGCAGGTATTACAAATGATGACCTCGAGAGACAACTGGAAGTCGATGAGGCGTGTTTTGTATGGTGAATACCAACTCTTATTATGTTTTTACGGAATGAAAACATATTGTTTTTGCTCAGTTTCAAAACACTAACCTCTGACCTGGCCAATGACCTGATTTGTTGACATCTGTCACCATGCTAAATGGTGTTGGGTTACATAATGTTGCAATCTCATAGCAGGAGGAATTCTGGGATACAGAAAAAGAGAGTGGAGGAAAACCTACCCCCCTGGCTGACACACTGAGGGGTTGTGATTATGTTCCCCAAAGATGAAGTTCATTGATACCTCCCTTGGGAATTGAGAGCCAGCCTCATACCCAGTGTCTGTGCCCTATCCCGAGGCCTGTACAGCAGTGTGCCAGTATACCTACCAACATCACATGACTTTTTACAAATTTCACAGGGGTCTATCTATCAACCAGTCTCATTCAGTACTCACCATAGTCTGTTCTACCACTTTGAAGAGAAAAAACTACACTCCAATAGAAAATTTTCTTTTTCTTTCAACTTTTATACCAGCTAGCTCACTATACTATACTAATGAAACCGCCCAAATTCACACACATACAGTTAAGAATTACACAGCTGGAAACCCCCTGCACACCCCAAATCCCCTTTCTGTAACAGAATATATTGCCTGTATTACACCCATGCCATATACAGCAATATCCATCCTTATTTTTGTCCCAACAAACACTAGAAATGACTATTTTTGTGTGCTGGGGGGGGGGTGTCCCTGAGGCAGGGCACATTTTGATTGACAGCTGTTAATTGGTGAAAAATACTATGTTATGAACCATCATAAATCATTTAGTCCATCATTTGCAACAAATCTATATGACTTTTGCAGTCATCTAAGCTTTCCAAGCTGTTTGTTGCAACTTTTAATTATCCAGTATACACACAGCCCATAGGTAAATAACAGCATATCATACTGAGATCACACTTTTGCTAAGAAAACATGCAAAACATGCACCCATATTCTCCAAATTAGGTCATCATCTAACAACAGGTACCAATAGCTGATATTGAAAATAAAAATTACCAAACCTAATCCAGTTAATGAGTTTGGGTAAAAGGAGGGGGGGGGTGTTCAGGGCAGCCAGTACTATTAGATCTTGCCATAGCACATGCTTAAATACACTATTTCAACACCTCATGAAAGTACTTGCCCATACTTCAATCTCAAAAATTTTTCTGCACCAGGTAGAAACAAGGGTCTGATTCCCAAAAATAGAAAGGAAACAGGGGGTTGACCATCTCAAATTCCCGCCACAGCTGATGATAGTAACAAAACCTCAACTTTAACCTACATTTTCCATGGTATCCATCCGCCTGGCCAGACAAGACCTAACCACTCACATCTCTCACTACGCCCACTAAACTGGTGAAATAAACAAAACTTGACCAATGTAGGAAAGTTTAGACTCTACCTGTGCCTTCCAGCCCAAAAATCTCCAAAATGGACCAAAACTTTCAAGAGAAAAAAAGGTTTTCAAAGGTATTAACTAGGCACTACAATCGTGTTCCCATTTTTTGGCTTCTACTGTGCAACGCAAATGTGGTGTCTGCCCTTAATAGACTAGCTCCTGTCTGACCATATACATGTTATCTTTCATGTATTTTGTTTAGCTGCCATAAAATTATATGGCCGGGCAGTGTTGTACATCAACATGCGATGAAACATCAGTAGTACATCCGAAAGATGTCTAAAAGCGAATTCTGCAAGCAATATGTAAGGCCATAGCATGTAAATTTTATGGATGACATCCTCCCCAAACTCCAAATCTAATGCAATAGGGTGAAAAAAAAGGCGGGCCAAAAAACAAGATGCCTACATTTTCAAATTTTGACATCACAAACCTATATACATGTATAGATACATGTATTGTGCTCAGTTTATTGCCTACTATTACAACATTCATTTGTCAGTGAAACAACTTTGAAAAATCATTGCACAAGTGGTTTTGATTCATTTGGAACATCACACATGCAGCCGCCATCAATATTATATGTACTGGATCAAAGTAAAAGACAAAACAAATCTGAGCCTTGTCTTTTCTCCTCTCATCATAGTTATCTCAGCCATCCACCTCCCGGCATGGCAACAGACATCTTAACCCATTCTTGGCATGTTGACCACTGTCAGAAGGCAACAAAATTACTTTTTTTGTTCCAAAATCAGGCAAAAAGTAATGAGTGCGCTGAGGTCATCCATAAAAAGTACTTGCTGTGGCATAATGTGCATAAGTCCTGTTACTATAAATTGTACCGTTGTTACAAAAGCTGCGTCGTGGGACAAATGATTTTTGCCTTGTGTAAACTGGCTCTAAGATAACTACGTTTTGCTCTTATTCCCTACCAGCTATGATATTCTGCTGACGGCTGTTACCATGGATCGTTGTGCGCACAGAATCTGTGGGTCCTGTGCAGACGAGCTGCTGGAGAGATCATGTCCCATGTGTAGAGTAGACTTTGTGTCTGTCACAGTGGACGCTGATACGAGACGGCGGATGGGCGAGGTTCCTGCCAGATGCACCAACCTGTGTGGTTTTCAGGGCACCGTACATGACGTCCTCCAACATAGGAAAAGTGACTGCCCATCCCAAACGGTGCGTGTAGTTAAATACACGATATAGGTATCAGTTTAGTAATTCCGATAGGTGTCAACCTTTGCATGTATTTTGTTTAGCTGTCGTAAGGCCTCAGCAAGTAAATACATGTATTATGGATGACATCCTCCGCAGACTCCAAATCTAATGCGAGCGGGCGAAAAAAACAGGGAGGGCTGAAAAAACAAGGTTCCTACATTTTCCCTTCACTCAATCATTGTACAAATGGATTTGATTCAGTGGGACCATCACATATACACAGCCAGCATCAATATCTCTGCAGGAAAGTCCAAAATAAAACATTAAATCAGAGCCCTTTCTTGTCTCCTCTCTTCATACTTATCTCCCATCCACGTTCCGGCATGGCAACAGACATCTTGCCCATTTTTGACATGGTCAGACTAGTACTGACTACTATCAGAGGGCAACAGAGTTTCTTTTTTTTTCAAAATCAGGCAAAATTAATGCATGTGCTGATATCATCCATACAATTACTTGCTGTGGCCTAAAGAAAAGAAACACAGCAGTGTCGTTGTCGTGACGTCGGACAATAAAAATATCAATGCTTTCTAAGAAATTCTATAGAAAGTCTTTTACAACCAGTTTTGTTAAAGAGTTCCTCATTTGAGCCAGTAGATACATTTCTTATGAAGAACAAACAAGTAGATGTTAAGAAAGTAGACTGTCTGTATATGTTTTAGAGATACCACTACTGATTTTTTTTTTCAAGTCCTTGTTATCTTTTTGTCTATGTATCACTTTCTATCAAAGCGTTTGTCCCGCAAGACCTTCATTCTTGTATCTGGGTATTATATAAATCTTACATATGTCTACAGGTCTACTGTCGCCGTGAAGGCTGTAGCAGCACTGTGGAGAGGAGTAAGCTTGATCAGCACGAGGATCAGTGTGGCTACAAGAAGGTCACATGCCCATGTGGCTTTAAGACGACCAAGATGTATTTGGACCGGCACTTGGCGACAGAGTGTGCAGCACAACCTATTCCATGCCCAGTGGGCTGTGAAAATGTTATAGAAAGGTACAGCAAGCCTATGTCTGTCATGTTATCCCTGTACCTTGAGAAAATTGTTCTTGTTCAGGCTGTGTTGTCTTATGTTTTGGAATGTTTGATCAAACATATCTTGTAGAGAAACGTTGATTTCGAGCACAATAGATCAGAGAAAGGTTATTTATAATTGTTTTTTTTTTGTTTTTTTGCTGTGAGTGTGAGTGGTTGCCTTTCACAGGAGAGACGATGGAAATGAATGTTTCCGATTTCTTTCAGGGCCAAAGTAGTTACTCATGTAGTGCAAGAGTGCCCACGCACAGTAAGCTCTTGCTCTGTCCCTGGCTGTGGTTTCGTGGGAAGGGCAGACGACATGGCCGCCCACTCGGTTGCAGTGGCAGAGAAACACGTAAAGCTGCTATTGCACCATGCCACCCAGCTGAAGCTCGAACTTGCCAGTGGCAAGTTAAAGGTACACATATCCTTTTACATAGCATTTTCGTCATAAGGTAGTTATTTTTTTATCATCTCCGCATTGTATTTCTTCGTTTTGATAATGAAATCTTTTAAATCCGCAATGCAGAGGGTCTTATACACCCTGTCTGACCAGACTAATATTTAGCGGTTTCAACAGTCTCGTCTGAACGGAGTCTTTATACATACCTGTTTCAACTACATGTATTCGTTTAGCAGCATACTTAGTATTATATTCACAACCTAACCACGGTCACATTCATTCACTCACTCAATGTGAATTGTCAATTATTCTGTACATGACTGATCGGCCTACATATATAACTTTAGACAGAACAGTATGTATTATTTCTTTTTGTTGTAGCGATCGGATGCATCCCTTGTATATGGAAGAATAGAGGCCATGACCTTTACAATTCCCGACCTGAAAAGAAAAATTACAGAGGGAAGCACAGCATTCACATCACCTGAGTGTATGCTTTTCAATGGGAAATGGCAGGTTTCACTGCAAAAGGACGAGACCACAGGGTGGCACATCTACTTGTGCCTGGTGTCAAGGGCACTGCCGCTTCACCTGAAAGTCATGTAAGTGTCAATTTTATTAGTTTTATTGCAGCAGCTTTTGAAGCTTCGAAGATGTAAAAAAATCATGTCCCTTAGTTACGTTGGTACTTCTATTTAGCACAGTGTGTTATTTCGTTGACCAGGAGTTGTTTATTCTATGCTCTAGCATTACGTTGCCATTGTATTGTGTATATGATGTATGTATATTTGAGGATAGAGACCCAGATGTTGAAGCGACGATTTAGGGTCATATGTATATATATATAGAGAGAGGGAGATAGATAGGTAGAGAGAGAGACATACTGACGTAATGAAGCGCACACATATACATACATACAAATGTATATATGTGTATGTGTTTATGCATGTGTGTGTCTGTGTGTGTGTATCAGTGAGTGTGTGTGTGCATGTGTGTGTGCGTGCGCCCGTGTGAGTTTGTGTGTGAGTTTGTGCATCAGTGTGTGCACATGTGTGTCAGTTTGTGCATTGGTGTGTGTGTGTATGTCAGTTTGTGTGTCAGTGTGTGTGTGTCAGTTTGTGCGTGATACCCACACTGACGCACAAACTGACACACACACACTGACAGTGTCAGTTTGTGCGTCAGTGTGTGTCACTGTCAGTTTGTGCGTCAGTGTGTGTGTGTGTCACTGTCAGTTTGTGCGTCAGTGTGTGTGTCAGTTTGTGCGTCAGTGTGTAGGTGTGGGGGGTGTCAGTTTGTGTGTAGGTGTCTGTAGGTGTGGGGGTGTCAGTTTGTGCGTCAGTGTGTAGGTGTGGGGGTTGTCAGTTTGTGCGTCAGTGTGTAGGTGTGGGGGTTGTCAGTTTGTGCGTCAGTGTGTAGGTGTGGGGGGTGTCAGTTTGTGTGTAGGTGTCTGTCTGTAGGTGTGGGGGTTGTCAGTTTGTGCGTCAGTGTGTAGGTGTGGGGGTTGTCAGTTTGTGCGTCAGTGTGTAGGTGTGGGGGTGTCAATTTGTGTGTAGGTGTCTGTAGGTGTGGGGGTGTCAGTTTGTGCGTCAGTGTGTAGGTGTGGGGGTTGTCAGTTTGTGTGTCAGTGTGTAGGTGTGGATGTGTCAGTTTGTGTGTCAGTGTGTAGGTGTGGATGTGTCAGTTTGTGTGTCAGTGTGTGTGGATGTGTCAGTTTGTGTGTCAGTGTGTAGGTGTGGATGTGTCAGTTTGTGTGTCAGTGTGTGTGGATGTGTCAGTTTGTGTGTCAGTGTGGGTGTGTATAATATTTGCTCAATTTCCACAGGTTTCTGCTGCTTGCACCGGGTCAGGGAGAAGATCACGGCATCTCTATGACTGGAAAGGTGGAAGTTAGTGAAAACCGAAAATACGGTGCACCCGTCACAATTGCCAACCTTATGGACTACAGTGAAGACAGCCGGCTAATGATTAAGGCTTTGCTCCAGGAAGTGTCTGCCACTGTTGTCTGAAACTTGAATCATACTTAAGAGCAGATGTCTGTAAAAACATCTATTTTTTTTTAATTGTTCCTCTTATCAAACATTCCTGTAAGTTCATGTGAATTCTATGATTACAAATGTGTAATTTATGTTAATTACATGACGTCATTGGACAAGATAGTGGACCATCAGTAACTCGGATATAAAGAGTTTTTTCTCTTAAAATGCTGAAAGATTTTTAAACTTATAATAGTTTAGTTTATTGACAACACTCCAGGTACATGGCAGCATATAAAAACACTGAATTTAAAGCAAAGAAAACGAAAACTAAAGCTTTTTTCAAGTGGTATGGAAACCTATCTTGCACTTTATATGGTACACAGAAGTTGTTTCCCTTATGTGTCAGCTTGATGTACATGCATATGTGATAATGTCTATATGATAATAACGTTAGTGACCCGCTTTCCTTCGGTGTATATGGTGTCATAATTCATGGTGGGTTCCTATAATCACCGAATAAACAACCTCGTCCTTCATTCGGTGGTTTTGGGAACCGACCAAGAATTATGACACCGTATACACCAAAGGAAAGCGGGTCATTTAACCCTATATTGTATTGTATTGATTTTATTGGACTTTTGTCATTATGTTCTTCTGAATATTTCCGTTTTCGTAACCAAGTTTTAGTTTAGTTGAAATCAAGATGTTTCACTTTAATTTATGGCATTTGGTTTGTTTTTTTAACTTGGATTTCTTAAGTTAGGTAGCTAGTTAGTTAGTTAAGTTAATGATGAGGGAGCACCATTACGTGTGGCGGGAAACGGTGTAACAGGCCAATCATTGTGTTTAGACGGTCTGGGGTCACGTGGTGAGAGCAACAAACGATGAACGTTATTTTACGATTCCAACCATCATCATGACGTCATTTATCAAGTATACGTTTTTCCAAGGACGACCGTAACCCTAGGGTAAGGGTAGAGATTAAACGCCACGTAGCAAAGTAACGAAATAATTTTCAAGACCCAAATGACTTTTAACTATTCTTTAGTTGTCCATATCATATCATTTAACTGACAAAACGAACGCACACGTTTTCACGTCATGACGTCATAGATTCAACAATACAGATTTGCAGAACCGCAACCACAGTTTAATCAAAGATATTACAAAGTAACTATGAATTTTAACAATCTTCAAGTGGTCCATACTGTAGGATTGGACAGATAAATCTAATGCATCCTTCTAACGTTATGGCGTCGTAGATTCAACAATTTTCAGTACTAGTAGCCAAATGACTTCACAATCCTTTATTAGTACAAAGTACAAACTATCAAATTCAACAGATAAAACTAACGCAGATTTTAAAGGATCGCAACACTAGTGAAATCAAATAGATCAACTCCGGTGACATTTTACGCCTTGAAGCAAATTAACTAGCTAATTAACTAACTAATGATAAAGCTAATGCTCACTGTGAACCTTCGACAACATGATGTCATACAATACAGATCTTCAAGGACCGCAACACTAGTGTAATGAAGTAGAGATTAAACGTAACAGGGCAGCGGACACTCGCTATTGAAAAGTACAATACGGGGGTGTGGGTCCCCGCATCTGCGCCCGGTGGCGTGGCATGTTTCCTACCGGGGCCCGGTGGAGTGGCATGTTTCCTACCGGGGCCCGGTGGCGTGGCATGTTCCCTCCCATGACCTGGTGCTGTGGCATGTTTCCTACCGGGGCCCGGTTGCGTGGCATGTTCCCTCCCATGACCTGGTGCTGTGGCATGTTTCCTACCGGGGCCCGGTTGCGTGGCATGTTCCCTCCCGGGGGCCGGTGACGTGGCATGTGTCCTCCCGGGACCTGGGGCCCGTAGGGGTGGTGACGCTGATGATACTATATAAGGATGAATCAATACAATTTAAAACTGCGATTCAAGTTAGCACTTCATAAGTAAGTTGAATAAACTGATGGTATTGATGTTGAACGACAACAACACATTAATGCAGTGTGTATATGTGAAGGCTGAAATTCTTTGTTAGTTGCTCAATTAGCACTCAACGATGGCCACCATTAAATATTTCTCCGCAGCATTCCGTAAGTAGCCTGGGTGCCATCATATTTGTATGCCGGGGATCCTATACTCGCTCACTCACTCACTCACTCAGCTCTGCATGCCCCTCCGGGGGGCCTAGCGCCTCTGCATACCGCTTTCCAGGTCTGCCTGTCTGCCACACAGGCATGTGAGCCATACTCGCTCCGTAAGAAATATAATTTTTCTTAGGAGTAAGCGAGCCCCAGCATGCATATAGAATGGCATCCAGGCTAGTAATATAGTTCAGGGCAAACTGAAACCTACCCTTGTCACGGCAGTTGCGGCTGGCATCTGGGTTCGCACGTGCTGGCGTCCCTGCACCCGGTCCGTGCTCTGGCCTGTAGTCTCAGGCTGCTGGTGTCCCGGCACCCGGCCCGTGCTCTGGCCTGTAGTCTCAGGCTGCTGGTGTCCCGGCACCCGGCCCGTAGTCTCAGGCTGCTGGTGTCCCGGCACCCGGTCCGTGCTCTGGCCTGTAGTCTCAGGCTGCTGGTGTCCCGGCACCCGGCCCGTGCTCTGGCCTGTAGTCTCGGGCTGCTGGCGTCCCTGTACCTGGTCGGTGCCAAGCTGTTGCAAGATCTCGGCGTCTTGATCTTCCCGCAGACGCCTACTCTCCAGGATACGTTGCCTAGTTAAATCCATTTGAATAAACATTAGATTGCAAAATCAATGCATGTCACATTCTGTCATTGTATAGTTTCAAATAGTAGAAATATTGCAGACATGTTGGCTAAAGAATCGATAACGTGCTGGGGACTTGTTGCATGTACAACAATCTAAATCAACCCGTGCATCCATATTTCATCCAAAAATTCAAACATGGAAGAAGTTCGTTGTCACATAAGAAAAAGTAGAAGAGTTGTTCCATCCAAACAAGCCATACCTGTCCCTTTGTATTGCCTCCATGTACAGCTGGCCATTGCTGATACCTTCCAAAATGGCCACACCGGTGGGAACAGTGTCTAAAATGTATAACATATGACAAATGATGTGATTTGCAATATCTATTCTATGGAGGATATGCGACAAAAATCCTTTTCTGCAAATAATGTCACATAACACTGCCATTGGTTAGAAGCTTGAATATCGACAGTGACAGAGTAATGAGGCTGTGTCTTTAATGTAATACACGTGTACCAGTGTTTTGTTGCCTTAAGCTTGCACATAAGCTTGCTTAGGGTGAAGCATGCCTAAACACAATGACATGCTTGCATACCAACAAGTCGATGAAAACCATAACCGATGCATTACCTTCAAACCTCTGAAGAATTATCATCTGGGTGTGGCCTCTTGGTCCTAACAGGACCATAAGGGGAGGAGTCCCTTCCGACCGACAGTACTGTACAACTGTGATGAAAGTAATGAATTTCATTATGTTTCCGTTAAAACAGTACTCCCTCAGTTCACTCGTAGACAATTGGTTTCGTGGTAAAATTTCAACCGTTGAAAAGTTCACAAGAAGTAAGCTCCATGACATTTATACTATAGATTCTTCTCATAAGGAAACATAATTGGTGCTGCAACTACACTGGCAGTATGACTAGGAATGAGAAGAAGGAAATGTAGTTAACTTAACTAGAATTATAGAAATGACTTTGAGGCAGGCATTTACCCGTTGAATAGCCTGGATTATGTATTTGTAAAAATGAATGAGCATTGACAACCGAATACAATATTTGTCAGTTTTTCATACACAGAGCAATTTGATGTATTGTTACGTACCATCGTCAGCATCTTGGGTCCCCCCCTCGTATGGCCAGAAGTAGGTCACCATGGCCTGTTCGGCCCCTATATTCCTACCAAACAATACATGTAAATTAATTGTTATAAAACACAATCTCTATGCACATAACATCTGACTAATATGTCAATTTTTCTTCTAAGAAACTTCTGTAGAAATGAAAGGGCTATAAAACGAAATACTTTGAAATGAAAGCCCCATGTCTTCGTTTATCTCAAGTTAGTATTTTCAATGAATGACATTAAATAAAATGTTGCGGGGGTGTAAGCTAGGTCGGAACCAATTCCATCGACAAACACAAGGGACATGTGGCAATAATTTGAATTTCCGTATGTCCTGCGTGGCACGTTTACCTGATCATGTCCCTTAGGGGAGCGACGATTGTTGTCGTCAGGCGGATGACCAACAGTAACCTCGTGTCAAGTGAGGCCTGGAGGCACATCTGTTGGAATAAAAGGTGAAACATAATGAAAATACCTACATAATGAAAAGATCAAAATAAAAAGTCGTCTACGGACATGCAATAGAAGCATGACATACATTCAATCCCATTTTTAAAGTAGATGAAACAGACATTCGTTCTTTGTAGACCCCATGTTCCAGAAAAGTTATGATTGAATAACACCTACTTGGCTAAATGGCAATGGCCACACGTAAGGCACACGCTCCAATGGCCTCAGAATAACCTGCAATAGTGATTGCAGTCGTGCTGCTCTACATGTCCTGCCACCGAGCAGTCTTTCTGTGGATGGAAAGTTATAGATTGTTTAGACGAATGTCTTCAACATGCTCAAGATTGGCAGATGGCCTTAGAAGAGAAGTGTTGGCCCCAGGTGGCTTTCTTTAGAATCTTAGAACAGGGTATCTCCATCACTTTTATATGATCACCGAGTCCCCATATGATTCTATGCCATGTCCCAGAAGATAGGGAATACATCAGATACTCTTGCGCAGAATTAAGTTTTAAGAAGGTTACACGAAAAAAATCATGAAAATATAGCAAAAAAACTGACCTGGGAAGTCCAACCCTCGGTCGGACGTGTCCGTGACAATCTGCCCACCTTAAAGCAGACAAAAAAAAACAGAAGAGATCAGATATTACAAACTTCCACATTTCACGAACAAATATCCACTGCAATTTGTATTATACAATGGATAACTACTAGTACTCATAGGTTTGTATTGTGTAAATTGCTACCACGATTACACCATAAGTCAAAGTAATACTGTCTTACATGTATATCCCTGCTCATGTCCAAACCACACATTGTGTGATCCCCAAAACAAGTTCAACACCCCGCGTGGCCATCACTCCAGGGAACACTAACTAAACTGACTCAAACCATCAGGTTCAAATGTGGACAAACTCACCATTATCACAACCTAAAATAATACTTCTGCCTCAACGGAAGTAAACGGGAAACAAGAAATTAGATAGTATCATGAAGTATTTTTTTCCCAATTTCTCATTTATGCTATGCATTTTCCAATTGCATTGTATTGCAATTTTGGAACGGTGGATGCAGTTGCATGAAGTAATTTAACTGGTATTACACCATGGCCTATGTTTGATGCGATGTTTTCACAATACCTGTATTCCCCTGACGAACTTAAACTGCTTTCTCAATGCCAAGATGAAATCAAATCTCCGTTCACCAGTGTTCCTTTTGCGTCAAAAATTTATAACTCCCTGCGAGTAAGCATATCTCCCCGCTCTAGACAAACATGCTAACCAAAACCACACCACTTAGTACCACCGAAAATTCTGATTTGTCAATTCTCTATCCGAAATCCGAAGGCATACTTACAGATCACCGAGCCCGACGAACTCCAGCTCCCCACGACGACGCCATGCTCAATGTGGCCTAAGAAATAGAAGCGAAATTTTTTTTTATTATTTGTGATTTAGCCCAATACTCTCCAACAAATAATGCGTGAAAAGTTCATAAATCCCATGGATAAAATTGATCTCGTTAAATAGCAACCTAAACTAGTCTACCTACTTCTGCGGAGCAACGGCAGCTCTGTCGCTGTCTCCTCAACGGGCGTGATATCGTCAGCGAGTGGTAAGCTCTCATACTCATAGACCATCGGCGATTGCGGTGACAGAGGGGGCGGCGTTGATGATGGACTTGCTGATTCTTGACTTTCGCCGGTCGTCTCCGGCGGAACGGCATCCGGCGGAACAGGTGCCTGTTGTTGTGCTACAGGTGTATTGTCAGGGTCATGTACCTGTTGCTGCACTGCAGGTGCGCTGTCTGGGTCAGGTGTCTGTTGCTCCACTGCACGGCCCCGACCAGGTGTCTGTTGCTCCACTGCACGGCCCCGACCAGGTGTCTGTTGCTCCGCTGCACGGCCCCGACCAGGTGTCTGTTGCTGCGCTGCACGGCCCCGACCAGGTGTCTGTTGCTGCGCTGCAGGTGCCCCCTGTTCTGTTGGATCCTGCTCTTGGCCACGTGCCTGTGGTTCTGGAGAGAAATTTGGTTGCAAAATTAGGGCACAGAAACAAAGTTTTTGGAACAAATTTTGTTTGGAAACAGCCAGAAATTCCAACTTAGTTTGGCACAATTTTAAACTTGTATCAAAAGGGTGTGAGAGGGACTTGGGTTGAGAGAAACAGCGAGAGCCGCCCAAGGACGGTGACAAGGGCAATAATAAGCCGATCTATTATATTAGCACTTACCAACATACACATACACCTTGCAGTCTCCCCGAGTCTCAGTCTTCAGGAACCCAGCATTTGGAAACTGCTCCCCAATGGCCTCCATCCCCTCGCCCGTATGGAAATTGTAAAGCCTGGTGTTGCTATTGGACGAATTTTTAGTTTTGTATTCAGTATTGGAGTCGGAGCATCTTTGTGTAAGAGCACATCTACATATTAGCCTTAATACCGTTATCCGATTACTGACCGATTGGTGCTTTATCGGTATTAACAAGTACTAGTACTTGAATTCTCTAACAGTTTCTGCGGCAATCCCCGCTGTGTGGTGCGGCCAACTGCTATGGTTGCAGACTGGCGCGCATGAACAATAGGACCCCAAGTACAGAATGCTTGTATACGCCGTGTACCGTGGCAATTTTTTTATCATTCTAATTCTTTGCTCATAAACTTTCATCACAAATCAAATCATGACTTTTACAGTTTGCTATTTACTGTTATGATGTCGCCATACGGGCAGCGAAACAGTCGTAATTCATTGGGCAGGACTTTTATAGCCTGGTGTCCAGCCTTGTTAGCTTAAGTGCGCTACCCAAGATTGTTGGCGGGGAGCGGTAATCTCCAAGCAGATCCCCTCCAAAAGAGGTGAGGGTCCAGTCCAGTCACCTGATGTCTGCTCCTTACCCAAATAACTGATATCAGGGAAATATAAGCCCTAAACGGCCAATCTGGACCCCCTCCTCAAATGGCTGCATACCTTACAAGTTCAATGCAGCCAGTTTTCAATAATTTCACATAAACCGGGGAGGGGTTGTAGACTACCATCCCGAGTGTCGAAGATATCAGACCAGGAATGAAATTTACAACAGGTGTCTGGGGCCCTTTTTCAGGCCTAGGGCACTGGTCTGGGGCTATTGGTGAGGCCCAGAATAATTAGCAAAAGGGTAACTAAAAGAGGGGAAAAGTCAAAAGTTACTCACCCTGGCATAAGGAAACTATCTTTCCTCATGCCAGGCCCCTATAGGGCTGCATTCAAGGTTAGCCTTTTAAGCATTTTTAGGACAGCATACTATATTGTCAATATAGGATACAGAATCTATCAAAAATGGCTAAAAAAACACAAAAATCTAAGAATTTCATAGGAAATCTGGGTCCAGTGAGCCACCTGATGTCTGCTCCTTACCCAAATAACTGATATCAGGGAAATATAAGCCCTAAACGGCCAATCTGGACCCCCTCCTCAAATGGCTGCAGGGCAAAGACCCGCGCGCTCTGTGTGGTTAAGTAAATTTGAAGACCCCCAGCGAAGTAGGCGTTGGCTCCCCCAGCGACGCATAGCAACCACCTTTGACCCCTAGTTTTCCAGATTTTCCCCATTGTTCGCTAATTGCCCCCTCCCCACCTAGTGTGAAAACTTCCCTAGAGGGGTGCCGCTGGCCCAGGTGAGATGTTACCTGGCACCCTGCAGGCGTGTGAAGGGCTGTATAACAGTACTGTCTGGGAAGGGAAGCAGGATGTGATGAAACAGTGTTCCAGGCGTCAGAAAATAGTTTGAATGGCCGTCTGAATTTTTTGCTTGTATAGCTACATATAGTTAGTTGTATCAAGGACATTATACATAGATGTGTATAATGTCCTTGGTTGTATACAGCTTAGCTCAATGTATCGCCCCCAAAGTTCAGTTCCCGCCAATAGTACACCGACTATGGTACACTGGGATTTTGACTTAGTGTGACATTGACTTATACATTTGTATTATACCTGCAAGTCCCTTGGCTGTCATATGGTTTTCTCTTCTTAAAAACAGTGTTCTTGGCTGGCTGGATCTCTGAGCTAGGAATTTATTTTCAAAAACTTTTTCAACCCTTTTCTATTTTCAAATGACTGGAACTGCTTGCACTACAATTTATACTTTTTTGAGTCATTGTTTTAAACACTGGTTAAGCGCTAATCTCCAACTACATGTATGATGTACATGTAACACAACAGAACAATCTTTCCTTAATGGATGCCAGACCCATAGCACACCAGGCTGACCAGAGTGAACTACATACTACTAGTAGTGTGCTAACTTATGGGGGGCTGTTGTGTAATTTCCAGGGGGCTTGCACAGAATAGAAAGCTGTAAGACACTCTGAAAGGAAGGGCCAACATGGACATTTTACCATATGGACGCCCCTCACAGATGGGGGCTGAATCATGCCGGGTCACTGACTCAAGGACCAAGGAGGCAATGAAGACTGACCCAAAATGACTGGTGCCACGCCAATTCAACTTGTTGGTTCTCTGGTTTTTCTCTTGATTTTTTTTCTGATTTGCAAAAAAAAAGATTGAGAAAAGTCCTTTTCTTCCTAGTTCTTACAGTTTTTCCATCTATCAATGCAGCACTTAAATTTTAAGTTCAATGACTTCATGTCTCCTATATGAAGCATTTGGGGCTATTGTAACAGTGGGGGGTTTATAGGCGCTACCAACTGACCCGGCCGAGGGGTCTAGACCTTTTCGGCCGACATGGCCGAGGGGTTACAGAGTCTGAAGCCGGTGCTCGCAAGGTCGTGGGTTCGAACCCCGGCCCGGGACTAGGAGGGTTGTTATCTGTTTCTACTCGCTTTTCCTGTTTCTTAAACTATAACAGGATGCCTAGACCTCAGTTTTTATTTTTACTTTTTTTCCGCCTCGTCACTTCATATTTTTTTGTGAAAAAATTGGAGAACCAACAAATTAAATTGATGTGGCTTTACACAAAAATCCACTAAATCCCATCCTACAATGTAGTTTGAATGATTTTCACTCACAAATTACAAAAAAGAAAACTATATATTGATTCCACAACCTACACATTATAGACTGAAATAGCACACAGTACATACACTGACACTTTGACTAATACAGGTGTTAATGAGGCTACTATTAATGGTCCACCAAAGACATGTTCAAATGTTGCAAAGACATGTAAAACACTGAACCAGACCCTACATCTGCTTGAAAATAAGCTCACAGTCTTCTCATACCAACTAGGGAGAGAAGTGTGGCCTGTCCACTGGCAAGCTACAGCGGCCAGGCCTTACCATCTGTGTCCTGGTAGAGCAGAGTCTGAGGTACATGTACATGTAGCTCACGGGGTCTAGGGGTCTTAACTCCCCTTATAAAAAAGTAGAAACTGTATCTTTTCATGTGTGGCAATGGGAGAAAAGTGGAGACTGAGACATACTGGAAAATCTGGGATGCTTTTGAACTTGTTTTGATAATATGACAACAATGTACAAACATGTACTGTTCCTACCCCCCTTTTGTACAGACTTTGGTATAGTCATCAAAACTACCCGACCTGCCCACTTTTAGCTTGCTCTGAAGGAGGTTTGATACATAAAAAAACACCCTCAGGTTTGACTTTAGAGTGACCATCCCCTATCTACAATGTATCTCTACTGCAACCTCGAACTGAACTTGCCTTTGTTCTTATAATAATTGTTTATTGCAAATTCTTGCCCGAGGGCTAATTGCAGAAACAGAAGAGATATGGTATAAAAATAGACAATAAGTACATATAGAACTATTGATAACTACTAAGAATCTACTGGTAAAAACTACTGGGTTTGACTTCTTTTTTGAAGACAGAGGAAGACAAAGGATCCCACTTTTTCTATAATTTGTGGGTTTTCGGATGTATATATATAATGAGGCTAAAGGATACTAGATTTTACTCTAGTTTTTTACCTTCGCCAAGAAGGTTATGTTTTCAGTAGCGTTTGTCTGTGTGTGGGTGTGTTTGTGTGTGTGTGGTTTAGCAAGATAACTCGAGAAGCAGTGGATGGATTGGAATGAAACTTGGTAGGTGGGTAGGACTTCATGAGACCTAGAAATGATTAGATTTTGGGCCCCCTGGCGGCTTTCCTAGGTACTGCAGCTGAACTTCCGGTTTTGATATCTCATGTTCTGTACATGCTAGGGTCACGAATTTTGGTTGGTAGATAGCTCTTGTGGTAGGGAAGAAGTGACATGAGTTTGGGTCCCCTAGCGCCTTGTTCTGGAACTGCAGGAGCATTTGTTGAAAAAAATTTGAAGGACGATAACTCAAGAACCGGTTGACGTATTGTCATGGTTTTTGGTATGTAGGTAGTTGAAGTGATGCTTGACATAATCAGATGGCAATTATGCAAATCAGGAGCTAATTTGCATAATTAATGAGGAAATTCTATAAATCTGATTTGTTCGATAATAGAACTATGAAACAGTTGTGACATCTACTTGAGAACGAGAAAAACATCTGAGGATATAGATTATGTAAATGAGGACCTAATTTGCATAATTAATGGCAAATTCTTATAATTCCATAGTTGTAACTGCTGCACCCCGAATTTCATACTTGCCACATTTGGAAGTTAAGTGAAGGTGAACATCAATAAACATAATTTATT